CTTGTTGAACGTGACGGATTTGGCCTTGTTCTCAAAGTCGGCGAGAATAGGATCCACCTGGGATGAGTGGAAGGCAAATTGAGTGTTGAGTTTGGTGCACTTGGTACCTTGATTTGACAATTTCTCTGCGACTTGGTCAATGTCGTTGACGGTGCCACCGAGAACAGTCTCTCGGGCTCCGTTGACGCAGGCAACCTCAACGCCTGGGTAGTCGGCGAATGACTCTTTGAGCAAGCTGGTGGCAGACTTGGTGGCGAGCATAGCGTGTGAATTGGCAGTGCACTTCTCTTGCAGAAGCTTCGCTCGCTCGCCGACCAGGAAGATCGTCTCCGAGACGGACAGAACACCTGCTGCGTTGAGGGCAGCATATTCTCCCAAGCTGTGGCCAATAACGACGTCTGGCTTGACACCCCATGATGCCCACAGGCGTGTTAAGGCCATCTGTATGCAGCTCAGACCAACTTGAACAATCAACGGCGACAAGTCTTGGGCGTCGATGTCGCCATTTAGGAGAGAAAGGAATGATGGGAAGCCCAAGTTTTGAGCAATGTTATCGAAGCTTTCGATGTCGGAGCGGAAGTGTTTCGAAATGTCATAGAGCTGTTTGCCCAAAGCTGTGTAATGGGAGCCTTGACCTGTGTATGCGAATGCAATGGTTGGAGAGACGCTGGATACAGGCTCAACTGCATCGTCAAGCTTTGAAGCTAAGATCTCTGATGCTTTGCTCAAGCTGTCGCAAGCGAAGGCAATGCGATAGTTGTGCTGAATGCGGCGAGCGGTGGTGGTATATGAGAGGTCCGGAAGACGGGTGTAGGGGTTGTGCTTGATGAAATGCACGAGGTTCTTGGTATTCGCACGGAGGGCGGACTTTGATTTCGCTGAGACTGTGATGACATAGTCACCGCGACCGTCGTCTTTGAGGGCTGGCCGAGCCGGCGCGTCCTCCAAGAGCATAGCAGTATTGCCACCAGCAGCACTGAAATTATTGACGAAGATGAGCCTTGCGGAACCATCGCTTGAGGCTAATGGCGTCGGCTTGAATGCAATATGCACATTGCGTGCGTTCAGATCTTGGGGGAAGCTTTGGTTGATTGTTTTCTTGATCCCGCAATGAGGTGGGATCTGGTTCTTTTGCAGCATGAGGAGGCATTTGATCATGGCAGTCACGCCCGATACAGCCTCTCCGTGACCGACATTGGCCTTGACGGAACCAAGATGAAGGGCCTTCTTCCTCTGGCCTGTGCGAGACGCAGGCGCAAAGACGTTGGTGACAGAGCGCATTTCCGTGCCGTCCCCTGCTTGTGTACCAGTGCCATGCATTTCAACGTAGTTGACATCGTGTGGATCTTTTCCAGCGTCATCCATGACCTTCTTGAACAGTACTTCCTGCGTGGGTGCGTGAGGATGTGTGATGGAGATTGCGTTAGCGGAGTGGTTCGTGGCAGTCTCAAGAATGACACCCAGGATGCGATCATTGTCGGCAAGGGCGTCGTCGAGTCGTTTCAGGATCACCGTCCCAATACCATCACCGCGGCAATCTGTAGCAACGTGTTAGTGGTATGCGTCGAGATATTCGGGATCCGAAGTATGCTTACAGCCATCTGCATCGTTATCAAAAGTCTGGCAGTTGCCTGTCTTTGACAAAAACTGTCCTCGGCTGAGACCAGCAAAAATGTCGGAGTTGGTCATCACGTTGAGGCCGCCAGCGACCGCGGTGTCGCAATCACCGGCCCATAGAGAAGTACACGCCAGCTGCATAGCTGCAGCACTGGAAGAACAAGCGGTATCAACGCTGAAGCTGGGACCACTGAACTTGAAGTAGTAGTTTATCCTTCCCTGGAGTACTGGTTAGCGAATTGGTGGGACAAGGCATTAGGATTATGGCTTACAGGTGCGAATGCTCGGACTCCGGCCGTGATAAAGTAGGTATCAATGTCTTGCGCTTCATTGATTTCTCTCCAGTCGTCACTCGTCTGACCGTAAAAGGTTCCAATTCGCTCCAGCCTGGTAGATGGGGATCTGTTGGGTACATAGCCGGCCATTTCGAGGGCCTCGTATGCGCTTGCCAGACCCAAGCGGTGCATCGGATCTGTTTGAGTTGCCTCACGAGGAGACATGTTGAAGAATCGAGGATCGAAAAGTCCAGGCTCGTCGATGAAGCAGCCAAAAGGGGTATGACTTGTATTTCGGATTTTGCCTGTCGGATCATAATGAGTCTCCACATTGAATCGATCCTTTGGTACCTTTGAACAAAACCGTCAATAGCCATCGTTATGGGTTTATAGGGATACCGTACCCTTTTGTGAACATCCAGACCAGCTTCCAGCAAATCCCAAAACTTTTCATGGTCGGCTGCGTTAGGGAACCTGCCCGCCATACCAACAATGGCAAGCTTTGGTCTCTTCGATGTTCTTGGCGCATCGCCGAAGGCTGAAGGCGCCTCGGATAGTTTGGCTGCCAAGTCTTCATGTAGGGTCACTTTGAAGTCCTTCTCGGACTCCATCGCTTTTGCGAACACACTCTTCGAGTTGCTAGGCCCGAACGAGATGATGTTGCATTCCCCACAGTCCGCTTCCGTGGCCAACTTGGTGCAGCCATCAACAATCTGTTGAATACTGAGAGTCTCCGTCAGAATATCTCGAATGACAGCAGTAAACAGTGTTGGCGCGTCGAGATTTCTGTCGAAGCATACACCGCTGCTTGTCGACATCAAAGGTAGGGCTAGACTGTAAGCGGAGAGTAGATCGGAAGTCTTTGAGTCTTTCGAGTGTAGGATTTGATCTATGTCGACGCCTTTGTGTAGGTGTGGTGCATGATAAGGTCCGTAGACTGGTATCGCTGCATGATTCGAAGTCAACGCCGAAGATGTCTGACAGAGGTGCTTCAATGTTGTTGGCGGTCCGCTTATCGTCACAGAATCAGCACTGAAGGCAGCAACATATGCTCGATGAGACTGCGGTATTGTCTAAGGGATTCCGTCAGTCTAAGTTGGTTTAGCGATCATTGATCCTTGTCACCTTATTTTGATGAAAATCGTCCAAAGCAATCTGTGCTTCGGGCTTTGTCTTTCCAGGGATGATATAAGACCAGCTGGAGTCATCATCATGAACAGGCGACATCTCTATATTACTGGCTGCGGTCTTGACGTGCAGACCAAGTCGAAAAGCGATCAAGACGGCCTCCACCGCCAAAGGCATGAGAGCAGGTATTGTTGGTGATAAGGCCACCACCGCTGCAGCCAGCAGTCCAGTGGACAGACCAACAACACACGATTCCAAGCCCATGCTATCCCGACCCCGGATGCCCCCAACATATCTAATGGGGTCAGATGTTTGGTCAGTAGATTCAAGGAAGATCAAACTGACTGAGTATACCGCGCTAGTTGGGAGATACATAATAAAGCGTTCTGCACCCCCTCATGGGCATCGCTGTTGCTGGCACGGTCATTGAGCTCGTCGATGGTATTAAAGGCTGGGATGCTTTTTCGCTCCAAGGGGGAGAGGTGGGAAATTTCATGTCTGAGAGCATCGCTGCATCTCTGCAAAAGGAGGCCGAGGAAGGGGTTGCCTCTACTCTCGACCAGTTGTTGTTGTATCTGGGCACGATTGACCAATGCTTGGTTCCCAAACAAGAACACTCGCATCTCCGTCATCCTGGCGGTGTGCAGGAAAGAGGTGGCAGGTAGTCAGTATGGAAGGCTCAAGTTATACGTTCTCCTGAGGAGGCTGCATCTATAACGGCTTTAACATATAGGGCGTTTGCCTCCGCTACTCTCCGACTCATGACACAATAATATCACATGCAGACTGGTAGAGGCTGGGAACACGAGATTATCGAGGCATCGCCCAAAATGGCATTGATAGGTAAGCATCATGGATGCCATTGTCTATCGTTTTTCCATCAGCATCATCCTACAGTCCTTTCCTCTGCGTCCTTCCAGGCGCTTTCGGCGATGGAAGCAGTTTCCTGCCCACGGCCAGGGAGGAAGCATGGCGGATATTGGATCGCCGAACGCTGTGTGTGACCGAGGAACGATGTGAGCTGAACCTTACATGTGGTGAGCATGTTGTGTACCCGGGATGAAATGACGAGAGTGGAGAACGGATCTGAGCACCAACGAGACCGAGGGTATTCGGACTGACGGGCGCAGCAACCGGATGGACATTGGGCGGGATCAGGGGTCTAGAACGGTCAAAGTGGAAGATGAACGGTGAGTGCCTTGGCCGTTTGACCGTTTCTCGGTCGTCGCTCCTCTTTTTGCCTCTTTGCTTGTGCGTGTTTCTATTTTGGCAGTGTTGGAAAGAGAAAGAGATGATGATGATGATGATGATGATGATGATGATGATGATGATGGATTAATTTTGTATTGACCGAGACGTGCTTCTGAGAATGGGACAAGGCTTTTTAATAGTAAGCTCGCGCACCTATGGTTACGCGATAAGCGACCCTGGTCGAAGAGACTAAAGTAGTAGGGTCGATGCATGATTGGGTCTGGAGTGTAAAGTAAAGTGTGAAAATATGCAGTGTGCATGGGCTGGGAAGCGACGGATGTCCAATCATACCGCCCTGTGCTGACTGTACTCGCCATGTTCCGTAATATTTCAACGTATCAAGTTGCGCGATGGTGTATGACATTACCGGGGCATATTTAATACACAGCCGGATGCATGACGTGCATGAGTTGGGTAGGAAAAAGCGCCAAGATGCCACGGGGTCCGGGCACAATACACTAAATCATCCTTACGCCAAAATGATTATTACATGTACCTTACCTCATCCTTTTCGTCCAATCGGCCAATAGCTTTACACGCGTCCAAGTACCTTTAAAAGGTAATGTAATGTAAGGGGAGGTATTGAGCTATTTTCTTTGGTTAGCTAAGCATGCGTCTAGGTCTGAGCAGACCTTTTCACTGTACGGTAATACCATTGATTCCGCTTGTTCAGCACAGACCAAGTCCCCTGATACCCCAGGCAAAGGAAGCAGAGATAGAAGATAGAAGATGTATGTACACTACATGTAGGGAATACCTTAGGGACATGTCAAATGGTCCAACCATGCAAACTCAATCCTACACCCTGACCCCTGAACCCTGAACCTGGAACCTTTTTCTTCTATCCTTTCTATTCCATCGCCACCATCAATTCAACAATCAGCCCCCACTCTTTGATCTCTGAAATCTGGCGTGAAAAAGCGCTAGAGTGAACCCAGGGTCTCATTCCATGAGATCTCAGATCTATCCATGCATTTTAACCTTTTAGACATGATCTACCAGTCTTATCCCATCGTCCATAAGGCTTAGTGACCGTAGTCTAAAGTCGTCGGGACTTTGCATCTCAATTTCAATTCCATTCGATTCAATTAATTCATCTTTTCCCTTCCTTCCACCCAACCATCCCTGTTTTCTAGTCTGCCCGTACCCTTAATCACTCATTTTGGATTGACACCTTCCTCCGCTTCCTCTCCATAATCCTACCGGCCTGGAGACAGCCACTATTTCCCATCACCTTGCATGGGTCCATCATATCCCTCGTATCCTCTTCCATCCGCTCAGTAATCCGGTGAACGGGCAAGAACACGTATCCGGTCGTCCACGTACTTTCGCACGAGTAGAACCCGCCCTTCTTCCCGGATGTTCCGATACTAAATCTTCCTTCCTTGGTGTGTCAATCCTGCATCCAAGGGTCCATGCTCCATCGCTTTTCATTGGCTCTATTGGACATACTTCATTAAGCCTTTTCTTCCTCGACTCCACTTTCCTGCATAACGACAGCGTGGGCTCGCAACATAAAACGCTTTTCCCTGCTTTTCGCCCAATGCAGAGGCGCCCATGAAGTCATCCTCCCTCCATGCAAAAAGACAAAAACAAAAACAAAAAAAAAAAAAGAGAAGAAAGATAGGCGACTTTGTGGACCTCCCTGTTACTCACTAGACCCATCGACCTCGTCTCCGTGCGATCGTGTATTACAAATGTCCGCTTGTGAAAGGACTTCCATTCCAACCATTCGTATAATTCGTATCACTCGTGAGACTCGAATGAATCCAATGAATCCAATGAATCCAATGCGATTAGCCTAACATGCCACTTCCCAGGAAGCCCGAGGTCTCGGCATCGACTGACCATTCTCCCTCATTCACTTTTTTCTTTCACTCTCATTCATTTATCTACTTATCTATCATCATTGTCATTTCCTCCATTCTACCCAACGTCCAGACCCTTGGCGACCACAAGTTCACAACCGCCAATCCACCATTATACTTTCTACAATCTAAACAATGTCTATCCATCATAGATGATGATGATGATGAGTTCTATATCCCATGTCTACAGCCGCGCCCCTACCATTACTACCAACTACTCTACAATTGTTTAGCGCCTGATGAATCTCGTCCGGCACGACAAGGGGCCCAAGCCCGGTAGATCAGATCTCATCCTAAAAACCTTTCCGTCTTCCCCAGCTCCAAACTATTCTAGACATACTCATCTGCTCCGGAGCAAACTCCTACACCCATTCCTGCCATGCCTGACCAATCCGAGCGCCCTGCCACCCCTCCCAAGCCTCCCAAGCTGAGAGAGTCCTGCGACAGCTGTCTCATCGCCAAAGTCAAGTGCAGCAAAGCGAGACCGTTATGCGGACGATGTCTGGCAAACGGCGCCCCCTGCGCCTACAGTCCGTCGTCGAGGTCGGGCAAGAGGAATCGCAACTCAGCCGGCGTCACGAAACCCATCAACACCACGGCGGCGCAGAACAACCGCAACAAAAGCCTCGAAAGCCCACGGAGCGCCGCTCTTCCACAGTCAGCCTCATATCTCACTCGCTTGATGTACCCTCTGCTCGACGATGCAGATCGATCCCTCCTCGACCCCAATACGGGACCCTTGGGTGGCACCACATCGCCTCTCCTGCAAGTCAACCCGAGCATCGCAGCCCCCATGATTGATACCAACACAACGAACGGCGAAGATGTGTTCGACAGCTCCGACTTCCTTCCCACGCCACCCTTTCACCATGGAGATTTCATGGATTTTATGCACATCTCTCAATCGAACCCGTTCGACTTCTCCACCGCTCCCGTGTCCCCGCGGCCGAGCCCACCCGACCACCTACCCAGCAGCCCACCATGGACGACGAAAGAGAACCCGTACCTACGACACAATGCTTACCAAAGTCCCCTCGACATGATCCCCATGAACCACGCGTCGAGCTCGCACACCACCCCACGCCATCCACCTCCACCCCAGAGCAGCACGAGCAATTCCAGTCTGAACCAGACCAACGGAGAAAGAGCACAGACGTGCGACTGCTTCGCGGCCTGCCTCTCGGTCCTACAATCCCTACACAACCACTCGGCCCTGCTGTCATCCACGCAACAAGGCTCCCCCCCATTCGACATCGTCCTGAGCATCAACCGCGAAGCCATGGAGACGTGCTCCACCATGCTCGGATGCGCCAACTGCGTGTCCAAGAGCGGTCGGAGCATCTCGACCATGATGCTCGCCACCATTTTCGGCAAGGTGATGTCATTGTACAGGGCGGCCTGCTTCCTCCGGTTTGGCCCCTCGACCAGCATGCAGGCCACGGCCCAGCTGGCCTTTGGCGCCTATACCGTCACGGGGGAGAACCGGCAGCTGCTCGAGATCGAAATCCTCCTGCTCGAGCTGCGCAAGGTCGAATCCATCCTCGCCGTCTACTCGGAACGCTTCCGCAACGCTCAGGCGGAAAAGGACGACGAGACGAGCGTGTACAACGCCCTGACCGCCTACCTGGACAAGAACCTGCATTACATTGTCGATTTCTTGCAGATGCGCAAAGGTGGCGTGGCCAAGTGATTTGGGGTTTTTCCCGACAGAAGTCGTTCCGTGGCATGCTACGATTAAGTGTTGCACGACTATATAACGGTATTAATGATAATTTTAATGCACTTCTTTTTTTTCCTCTCTTTTTTTTTCGGTGTTGCATACAGCGAGCATACGAGCATGGTTATGGGAGGAATAGATATAGAACCTCGATCAAAAATCATACCACTTCACAAACCACTCCCCATCATCGCATCCCTGCTCTCCTTTACCAGTCCTCAATATCCCCAGCCCCCAACCCCCCCTTCACTGCCCCGACCCCCCCGAAATAGTGATGATTTGACCTGCCCCAAACAAATTAGCCCACATCCACACCCCCCCCAAAACCACATCTCCAAAACTCACCATTCACCCACCCGCCATCCTCCCCCGCCAAAAACGCCACCACCCTCGCCACATCCTCCGGCACCGCACACCGCCCCAACGGACACGAATCCGCCATCGCCTTCTCAACACGCTCCGCGCCCCACTCCCCCGTCGCACCGGGTATATACTTCCACGCCACCTGAGCGAACATGTCACTCTTAACCCCGCCCGGCGCGACCGCATTAACAGTGATACGCCTATCCCCAAAATCCTTCGCGAAGCTCTTCGTGATGCCATTGACCGCGCTCTTGCTCCCGGAATACAACGCATGGTCCCCGACCCCGATCAGCCCGGCCGCGATACTCGACATCAATATCAACCGGCCCCCGCGCTCGCAGTGCCGGTAGGCCGCCTGCCCGACGAAGAACTGCGCCCGCAGGTTCAACCCCATGACCGCGTCGAAGCGCGCCTCCGTCACCTCGGCCGTCCGGTCGAAGGATTCCATCCCCGAGTTCGAACACACGATGTCGATGCGGCCGAAGTGGGCTTTTGCCTCGAGGAAGAGGCGCGTGATTTCCGGCACGAGGGAGACGTCGGCTTGGATGGCGTGGGCGTGGGAGCCGAGGCGGTGGATTTGCGCGCAGATGGCGTGGGCGGCATCGTGGCCTTTGACGTAGTTGACGATGATGGAGGCGCCGCGGGCGCCGAGCTCGAGGGCGATGCCGGCGCCGATGCCGCGGGAGGCGCCGGTTACGAGGGCCACTTTGCCGGCGAGGGTGGGGAAGGGGCGGGCGGGGGGGGCGTGGCCGTTTGTTGGGCCGTTTGTGGGTGTGGGATCGTTTGTGGGGTCGGCGGGGGGGGCGCCGTTGGCGGTGGTTTCGGGCATGGTTGCTGCTTCGGTGCTGGGAGGTGTCGAGGTGGTTTCGGGCATGGTTGCTGCTTCGGTGCTGGGAGGTGTCGAGGTGGTTTCGGGTGCTGGGTCAGGGGCGCCGTTGGAGAGGGAGGGAGCGGAGGTTGTGGTTGTTGGGTTGGAGGTTACGGGGAGGGGAGTGAGGGTTTGTTCGCTGGAGGTGGAGTCCATGGTCGAAAGCGAGTATTATTGGATGTTTGTTGGACAGAGGAGGATTGGGGATGAGTTTTATTGGAGGTTTGTTGTACAGAAGAGGCTTCGGGACGATGGGAATTTGTATTTGTAGAGCGAGGTAGTTTATGCGGTGTCAGTACGAGAAGCAACAGATCTGTATCTTCCATTCACTCATTCAGTCTATTCAGACATATTAAATATAGAGAAATACGATAATATTAACCTTGTGAAAAAAGACATTAAATCCACCGTCGGCCTCTCTCGCACATAACCGCAGCCTTCGGCGAACCGAATCCCCATCACCGCGCGCGGTTTTAGCAAGCAGCAGCAGCAGCAGCGACGAATGCAGGTCACAGGAAAACCTATACTCTACCGACCGAAGAAATCCGTTTCATGTCCTGGGCAGGGCGAAGACTCGAATTGCCGTGGTTTTCCAGGGGCATGCTTGCTTACCACTACGCACTTCTCGATGACCGACCCGGCGACTTCCGATACCCGGTCAATTTCACCACCAAAATCGGAGAAAAAAAAAGAAAAAAGAACATTCAGAAATCGAGCTTTGGTTTTCGTGTGTCGGCGATGCCAAGATATTGTGCATTCTCTGCCTGCGTACGAAGAGAGTTGTAGGGTAGTGGATTAGATGTTACAAATTGGCATAGGGTTCGGAAAAAGAAGAGAGCCTCCACCGCCGAACGAACGAACAGACCAATGGCGACGGAAATATTCGGGTCATTACCTTCGTTCGAGCTGTAGTGGGTAGCTCAACGAGCGAGCTGTCATCGACGCTCTGCCCGTGGGATCCAGGAATACGCGTATACACACGCAGAGCTACGCGTTTATACACCCGTGGATTCAAATTGGAAAGTAGTGTGGATGAAAGATTCGCAGGGGAATTTACGTAGAGACGAGTCTGCTTTTTGAGAAAGGCTGTCCTTACAATTCAACCCCTGTACTCGCATCGCATCCCTCCTTTAATACTCCTTCCTCCCTTTAGACTTTTGCTTGTTTGTCTCAGTTTTTCTACTCTCGCAATAGCAAGGAAACGTCATCGCCGGTAGAGACGTTGCCGTCAAGGGGTACCTTGCTGTCGCTACTGCAGCCATGTCTCAACGGGAGGCACCTGCATCTTTGACACCTCCGGAACAGCCGATGACGGACACGCCGATGCCAGAGGCACCCTTCACGGAACCCGCTTCCACAACAGACCACAAAACCGCTGTTACTGCCGACAGAGTAGATCAAACCCTCCAACAACAACAAGATCCAGCTCCGGAGCAGGCTCCTCCAATGACGGACATGCCGCTGGCGAGTACGTTCCCGCGAGAACATCCGCCCAGGGAACCTACACGAAGACAAACAATTCCAAGACCGTACGACCGCAACACTCCCCCAGACCGAAAACCTCCTCATCTCTCAAGCTACCCCACCGCTCCCGATTCCCTTCCTCAAACCCCAAACTCTGGCATGTCGGCTCCGTCGGCTCCAAGAGCTCGCGCCGGCACCCCCGTCGACAGGACACCTCATCTCTCGAGCTACCCCACTGCTCCTGGATCTGCTTCTCAGACCCCTCAGCGGAGGACATCACAGACGTCGCAGCATGGAATGTCGCCGGCAGGCTGGCTTGTACCTCCGCCCGCAAACCCAGCGCTGAAAATCTCGTTCGAGGGTACGTTTTGACAGTTTTCTCTCCATGCCAGTGTCTCGTATTCTCTCTCTTCTTCTGGAAAATGAAAGAAAACAAACCCCAAGGAGCCTCGCAGCTAACAATGGTGAAATACAGACTGGCTCTCCCTCTCCGAAATCACCTTCGAATGGGGCGACAGCTACGACGACAAAGACTGGATGAGACTACGAGCCATCCTCGCTCCCACCCTCATGGTTCGCCGCCCCTACTGTCCAACCCTTTCCGCCCAAAAAGCAGAGCTTTAAATCCACTAACACCCCATCAAAGGTCGACTACTCCCAAGTAAACGGGCACGTCTGGTCCTCCATGCCCGCGGAAGAGTTCGTGCGCGTCATGTCCAACATCGGCTTCGTCGGCGACCCCCTCGTCCACACCCAGCACCACATCGGCGCGTCCAAGTGGTCGAAAATCTCCGACGACGAAGCCATCGGCCACCACCAACTACGCGCCTCGCACCAGCGGTACACGGCGCTCGACTTGAAGACGGTGGAGAACAAGGGGCACGGACACGCGATGGTGAAGCATTTCTACAGGAAGGTGGACGGACAGTGGAAGCTAGCGGGGCTGCGACCGACGGTGAGATGGAACGAATTCGAATTTGAGAAATATTCTTAAGGATGTTTGGCAATTCTAGCGGCTGTGGACTTGGGCGACCGGGGGCGCGGGCACGGTGGGAGGACCCCGGGAGGAGGACCCGGATGGGCCCCGGGCTGCGCCTCAGAACGCACCCCCGATCCAACCGGGTCCCCCCTGGAGACACACTGAACCCCCCTGAAAGAATGCCCCGGAGACACCTCCGCCAGACATCCAAATGAATACATCACTTTTGGACACGCTCAACCCATCTCGATCCATACCCCTTTCCCCCCCCAAAAATGCAAAAAAGACAGATAAAACAAAGACACCCACGCCCACGCCAGCCGGAAAGATGGATGGCTCAACCTCAAACATCGACACGAAGCCCCGTCGTCGCAGTGGAAGAAAAAGCGTCAGAAAGGAAAAGTTAGACACAGAAAAAAGTGATAACCTGTAGCGAGTCCCATACGATTAACCACGAGTGCAACGATGTAACACGAATTGAATTTGAATTTTAAAACTTTAGAAATTATTTAGATTTGACTTCCCCCAGGCACTGCACTCCCTCCCCTTCTCGATGCCCTCGGTAGAATCGCGGCAACGGAGACGATATACGGTACAGTGATAGGCAGCTTGGATGCGGGCAAGAGCGCTTAACCGGAACTGAAATGATGGGAGGGCAGAGACAGAGAAAACATAACATAAACAAACCAAACGGGCAATTCAACCCTTCATTCCTTCCCTTTCTTTTGCCCAAGAGCTTTAATTGGCGTCGAATGGTTTCTGGGAACGGCGGCCGGTGTTGCCGTCAGCTCAGCCGGGGGTATCTTTAATTTCGGTGGCGCTGCAGTGGGCGCATCGCCGCTTACCTCGTATGTATACTCATTTTTTCGAATCACATAAGGTAGGTACGGTAGGTACCTTCGATAGACCTCCCAACCCAACCCAACCCAACCCAACCCACCACCGCCCAAATCCCATCCGTTGGGCGCCCACCCTCGCCCGCCCGTGCTTTTTCTGGGAGATTCGTATTCGGCTCCTGTGCTGTACCTAATTACGCCACCGCCTCTTCCCCTCAGCAATTCCCATCCATTCGCGGAACCCACTCCGTCTTGCGCAAATGTGATATGAAGGTCGGTGGGTGTTGGCTTTTTTGGGGTGGAGCCGGGGGGGGGGGTTACCGAAGTCTGCATGACAGGGGTCGGGGTCTCGTTGGGAATTTGAGATTCGATGGTATACTTTATGCGGGCCTGAGCGTAAGTAAGACCTGGGCCCTGGGGGCGGTGTGTGGCATCGATCGTTGAAAACTTATTAATTATTACTGTACCTACCCCCCCCACCCCACCCACGGTACTTTATCGATAGAGGACCGTTGTCGATGAAACCTCGTGGATCGCGACTAGATTAATGGCTAGGCTTCAAACTATGTATCTGATTCCGTGTCGAGAGTCCAAAAAACCGCGTGGCCTCCCCAATGCAGAAGGATATCCTGCGGAGGCTCCTCCGTTGTTGTTGTTGTTGTTGTGTTTTTTGTTTTTGTGGTGATGGTGGCGCGAGCGACGAGGACGGCTGGCTTTTATCCGGAGGATTCGAGAAAGTATGGTATGTGCTTGCGCAATCATGCCTTGGCGAGCACGCATCCGCAGCTTTTCTCACACCGCCTCGCTATCTATCTCCATCTGTCTCATCCATACTCTGCTTTACTCTATGCATTTTTCTTTCTTTTCTTTTTTTCTACTGCTTCGGGTTTCCCAAGATGCAGACGTTGCTAAAATTAAATCACCCTTACCTTACCTGACTCCGTGGGGTCAAAATCCTTTTCGATCCAGCCCTCGCGTCTTCCTCTCACGCACAGTACCATCCCGTCCGTCCAATGGTCAACGCTTCCAACTCTTCTCACCGCATATGCGGCCTCCACCCAACAATTCTCCTAGAATCTGTTCCTTTTTCTTTTTTGTTTTATCCCGCATGCTGCCGCATCAAAGCATATGCCACGCTGTCGATCGCTGTCATGCGGGGGCGAGAATCAATTCTCCGGTTCGCCAGCACACACACACACACGCACACTCGATATCCCTGGATTTTTTTTTTCGCATGCGAGCGGTAGATCCCACTCGCATGTGTGCATCTCACACTCCCTCCCTTGCCCCCCCTTCCTCCAAATAGTAGCATTGCAGGTATTTTGGGGAGGGGGATACATATGCAGGTCCATCATTTTTCCCTTGGGGCCATCGTGCTTCAGCCAGCTGCAGGGTTCGCGTGCATCTGCCCTTTTTCCTTCCAATACCGTACCCTTTCCTCATCTTTCGTCCGTGGCGTTTTTCACAAAAGAATAAAGCCACGACGATCTTTTCCGCCTCGGTCCATTCACGTGTCGTGGGTCTGCGTCACCGATTTTGCGAGGCACACGGGTTTTTTTCGCGCGCGGTGCAGATAGGTCCATGCGAGGGGCTTGTACCCTCTACTTACCCCCCTATGATTCGACCACAGGCTCCGCGTCGGTGGCGACGGCTCCGTTATGTTATTCCTGACTGACAAAACGGACGACAGAGGTTTTCGCGTGGGGTGCTACGGTATGGCTACTGTTGGGGAAGCACCTCGCGTGCCCCTAAGACCGTGCCCGTGCCCTCGCTGACAGTTCTCTCTCTTTTTTCTTTTTCTTCTTCTTTCTTTCTTCTCAGCCCCCCACGTACAAACCGTGCGCACTCGTCCATCCGGCACAGAAACCCCACTCCAACGTGTGAACACCCTCCGCTGCTTCCCTCCTTCCATGCTTTGTCAGCAGAGGCGTTTCGCATCCCCCTGCCGCATCGAGGCATCCGCACGACAGACAGTCGGCGACACTCATCCCTCCCTCCCTCACTCACTCACTCACCACCCTATCCGCACCTCGCTGGCCCATTCCTACCGGTGGGAGAATCGTCACGAGAAAGATAGACTCTGTTGCGGGCCCGGAGGCAGAATGGTAATGGTCTTGCCCCCCCCTCCCTCTTCACGGTGGGTGTGGCATTGAGAGGAGGGGTTTGGGGCAAGATACAATCTCGGGTCAAGATCGTGGCGGGGAGTGAGGGCCGATGTCTGCTACTAGGGGACGCTACGTGCCTGAGGTTCGGATTGGATGAGATGGATGGCTGATGTAAGGATGGGGAGAGAGAGAGAGAGAGGTCTGCGGCCTACGGCGCCGTCTCGTGGATCGTTGCGAATACGGTGGTGGAGGAGATGGAGATGGGTCAAGGAAGGCACGTGTCGTAGTGGGCGAAGGGATCGGTTCGGCAATTGCGGTAGAAGGGCTGGAATGTTGTGGTCAATGAGCATAGGCGGATAGCTATACTCTCGTCATGTCGACTTTTTATTTATGAATTGCACCTTCCATGTATTCATAGAAGAGACGGAGGTATGTATAGTACCGTTCGCTTTTCACAGTGACCACCGATGACCGAATGGATGTTGGAACAGTGGGAATTGCAACTACGGACTACGGAGACGTATAGATTGTACTATGAGGGCGAATTCAAATTTAACATTACAAACATTCTGTACAGCAGAATACACCATACTATCTCCTCCACGCGAAACGCATGAACGGTGGCATCTTCTGCCCACCAGATTGGAAGGCTTGGCGTTGAGGACGTTACGGGGAGGTATGGTCATTCTTTGCCAAGTCTCTGTTCACCTCCATCTCATCGATAGTCAGCTGGCAAGCAAGCTGCACTCTGCGATCAGACGCAGCTTGCTCGCAAGATCTTTCGCTGCTCGTGACGTAACCTCTCGACTCGAGCTAACAGAAGCCACCATGGCCATTTTTGAATGCGGCTCCTGCTATCGACGATCCAGCGGCTACTCGCATATCGCTATCGAATGGATGCAAAAAGGCAATCCGCATGAATTTGGTGGAGATGTCTCCGAGACGTACATACATTCTGTGGAGATCCTGGACGGCGATCGGAGGATTTTCGCTTCGGTCACCGTTCAACGGATTTATCGTTTATGCCCACGGTTCCTGCAGCTGCCGGCAAACGAGAGAGACCCGACCGAGGTTTCCGAGTACGAGGTTTGATTTGTCGTCGCCGACGTCAAAAGGTTGCCGGTGGCTTGCATGGTGGATCTTCGCAATGGAGAATTTCGATCCGCCAGCGATCTAGAAAACAAGATCTCGGACATTTTCTTGTTCGCAGACTTCCATCAAGACCCCCACGCCCTTCCTTGTCCTTTGAGGACGGTAACGGTGAGAGAAAGCTTCGACGGAGCCGAAGATAGTCAACGCAATAAGGACGTGCGCACGTGATCTCGTGTCTTTTTCGCTGAGCTGCACAGTCTTCTTCATTTGTCAGCAGAACATCACGGTCAATCTGACTTACGTCCCCACTGTTCGCAATGCGGCCAAAGCTCGTTACGCTCGCTGGTCCCCAAGATCATTGCGAATTTTGCAAGCTCCTTCCCTTAGGCGACCATCTCTGTTCCTATGCGCCCTCGTCCTGCACCTGTTCGAAGCGATCTACGATCCTTCTGCGAACGCTCAGCACCGTCTCCCTCAACCCGTTACGCCTGAAATACGTGTTTCACCGTCCCAGCACTCGAGAGCAACTACGTGCGTTGGTCGGGTATCTAGACGGCCCACTTGAGGCGGAAGTGATCAGCGACTGGTGGGTGGGGTCGGAGAAACGAGTGTATACAATATGGTGACGCTGGTCATCCTCGATATCGTTACCCAGTGGCGGGCAAAGCATTGGGAGCCAGCATTGAGCATGTTGGATGTGCCTGGACCAAAGAATCCTAGAGTATACCAAGACGAGTCCTCATCTCGGAGCCTGGTACGACGGTTCCCATCCGCAGATACAGGATCCTCACCCAGATCCGCTTTTTGGCTATCCTGTATTCCCACGCTATGAAGAGTGAGAGCGACAGTCTTTTAGCACGGCCTGCCTTCTTGACCCCATCCGCGAAAATATTTCGCGAACACCGCTTTTGGCCGTCGTCCTAGCTCTACCAAACGTCGGAACGTGCAAGTCGAGAGGGGGCCTGGCTAGTTTGCTACCCTATCATCTACGGCTGTAGGAACATGGCAAAGTCCAAAGGCTCAGTTGGCGGCATCTCGAACGTCAATGTGACACCAAATGGTCTCAATTCATGCGGTGACATGTATGTTCCAGAGTACTCCTTCTCTTTCTGCTCCCTAGCTAACTTGACGACCTTAGGTCTTGCGGGCATGACGCTGATATCGACACATCCAGTGGTCGTAGCTCGTGGAATGAAGAGACATCAACATTGATCTTAATGGGACAATGTGCCTCGCTTTCTCGGCAGGGACAGCGTGCGAAAGTGGTGACAGAAGGTGGAGTAAGATGGTTTCCTTGGAGTCACGTTGCCGACAAAGGAGGAGAACCTAGTTTCGAAGGTTGGCATATAAAGTGGCGGAGAGCAGGAAGCTTGGGTGCTCGTTGTTGGTTTTGAGATGCCTTATGTGACTCTTGGTCATAGACAGCATTTAATGAGACCTCCTTGTCTGATCGTACCATGAGGATGTGAATCTCCCCTTGACATAGAGCGTTACAACAAGAGCCTGTTTTCTGCCTGTACAAGTAGCTTGGTGTCTTGACAAGCATCAGGATAGACATCCGGAAAATGAAGATGAATCGGTCGCCGCGTAAGCTCCGAGTCTACGCCAAGCCATGAAGATCACGTGACTGCGCGTTTGCGGAGCCGCCGTGATTGTAGCGTTTCCTTGACTGAAAAGTCGACCCCTCAATGCTCAGTATACCACGCCGGCTTTCGTGGCAATTCAAGATGTATTCCTCCCCATCGACCAAGGTGATCCCAGCACCCCGAAAAAGTTGTCCTCCAGAGAAGATCCCATCTCTTACGAATCGTCTTTCTGGGCAGATGTTCGCGAAAGACGTGCCACTCCAGCTCGGACCACGGCGATACTCAGCGTCAAAATCAGACACTGCAAAATCGAGTACGGAGATGAGAGAGAACTGGTACATAGGTCATGTCTTGTACTATGGCGGTGGCCCGGCGAAAAGCGGTCGCGCAGCAGTTCGACAGCGAGTAGTAGAGGCGCCCGAGGTGGGAAAAATCAAAGGTCCCACAGCATATCTTGGAGATTGAGAAGCGGCTGAAAGGAGACCACCAAAAGAGATCAGGGATGGGGAGGGGGCCCGAGTTATCCAGAAGGGAATTACAAAGAGTGCACCTTGTCGTACCATTGGTGTGGATACCAGCTATGCAGACAAGTTAAAGAGCAAGGAACTCAAGTATGGGATAACTTTCGTGCTGGCTCTCCGGACATCGAAGAGGGTATGCACGAGGCTGAGCCATGGATTGGAGGGGTCCCGGCAGTCAATGGGTTGAGCTGGCGTAGGGAGCACGAAGCAGAAAAACACGCAAAGAAGACTCGAGAAGTAGAAGGTAGGTTGGGGCAGAAACCTGACGAGTCACGGTAACTGAAACATCATTATATCAGGCATACAAGATCAATGGACCTTCGAACTCGTTAGAGGGGATGTGGAAGATCGACATTTCGGATATCATGAACGAATCTTCGGACCCTCACGCTCTGATCATGTGCCATGATTGAAGAAAGCTATGGGGCGCATTGGACTTCGACCAGTGCAAAAGCATTCTTGTCATCGACCCATACCATTGCCATTATTAGGACGCGGTCGAGACAGTGAAGAGCGCGAAATGATGTGGCTGGAATCAGAGTCCACCGGCGATGTGGCTTTCTTGGCCGGTGGCAAAATCAAGGGATATTTCATTGATGTAGGAATCTCGGGAACTTTGGGTACGAAGATGAAGAAACTGGCTAAGGACGTGAAGGACATAAGAAAAGAGTGGAAACGGTTAAATGAGAAGGCGCACGTTAGAGATGCGGCCGGTCATTTGGGTGGATGGCATGGGCAGTACGAACACGAGGACGACGAAGAAGACGAAGGAGGTTCTGGTTCGGATAGGTCTGATGGCTTGCGCCTGAGCTATGTTTGATCACGTCCATCAGCGTTCCTAATCTTTGTCGGTATTGCTCTACGATTCCTTGACAAAGCCGACTGATGCCCTTCGGATCCGATCATCGAGTCCAGTACAGCCTTGACTGACGACAACGAGCACAGCGTGTGTTTGGCGAGATGAGAAAGGTATTTGTGGGCTCACACCAATCCCAGGGGTTCTCTTCAGTTGTTTGACACTTCCCCTGTCTCCACAGAGTTGGACTCCGCAATTTCCAATCAACGAATCGCTCTCAACATCACTCTGAACATCACTCTGAACATCACATTTATCACCTTGACGAACTTTACGGGCGTTCATCGTAGACCTTGTCCCGGAACGCGGAAGTTGGTGGTCACATCGGCGAATCTATCGCTCCTGGACAGGGCATATTTGAACAAGAAGTTGAAGGGAAAGGGTGTAAGGATCGGACGGACGATTGAAGAAGCCTTACATGCTGCCATTAAGCACGCATAGAGCCAACAATAAAGCTAGACCGTAAATCTCAGCCTACAGATCTGTCTGCCAAGCTGATGAAGGCCCTACTGGAAGATGCCTAAATGCGGTTGCGACAATGCAAGATGAGATATCCGTCACATTTCTGGCGAACACCTGCTCCGAAATGCAAAGATCAATCACAGTCGATCCGCCAGCGCTCAAGACGTGTGAAAAAGGACAATTCATATGCCGGTTAACCACGACAAATATCGCCAGCTGGCCAGATACGCCTGCTATTTCTGCAAAGTGAAACTTGATCGGGCGGATCTCGCCTCATCGAGTGCTCACGAAAGAAGAAAACATCGAGGAATCGCCGACCTAAGAGAATATAGCAAATTTTGTGCACAGAGAGGAGCTTGATTCATCTGGGTCCCAACAGGACGTATTGCCAGAAAAGGAATGCACCTGTAACGGAGCGAATCTCGTCATCTTCCGTATCGATTCACATGTATCCAATTCTTGTTGACGTGAACAACTAATCCATTCAGGTTGGGACCCGCACAAAGATGACAAACATGGCAAGATGTGAGCTCGTCAGATTTGTTTTCCGTGCCGGCTTCTCTGCGTACAAGACACGTAACTTTTTTAAGTTCCACATCAATGAGTCTTGAAATCCCCTCCCGCCCCCCAAAATAAATACTACCTGCCCAATCTCCCACTTACGCATGACTTCTGCTCGACCAGCCTCATACAAATCGAGATCCATTTCGTCCATGATCTTGAAGCACAATTCTCATCGTTCCTGAAAGAAACCCCCCCAACCCATAACCGCGCTCTTCATATTTCCACCTCCTGCATTGAAGCATTCTAGATTTCTCCTACCTCTCGCTTTCTTAGCCTTGAGAGCTCCGTTGTCTCCCCGATAGCTACAATAGGCGCAACGATCACGGTATTCGGTAGAATTGCCCGCCCTTTTAAACGTGCGTGCGTGCGCGGCACCAGAGGTTGCTACATGGGTACAGCTGCCTTCCCGGATTTGAGACTCTTCAAGGGGGCAATTTATTCATATGGTTGTTGGTGGGTTGGTGTGTGCTCGGATCCGAGTCCGGTCGTCGAGACCATTCGGGGCTTGTTGCTGCTTACGAATCTGAGGTGTGCTCGCAAACCGAGTCCCATTCTCCACGCCGTCGAGGTCCGTATCGATACGCTACGACCGGAACATCGGACAGATTCCTGTTCGGCGACGACGCTTGTGCTGAAGGGGTCCTTGTAAGTAGGATCGGAGTCATCGTCGCTGAGATGGGGAGACTCTTTCATGCCTAGCTGAGGCTGGGTCTCGGAATGGGATACCTCTTCCGAGCGATGATCAAGGTGGCGTTTGGGCCGGAAGTACGAGGTCTGCTCTTTCGTGTCTTGTTGTCCTCGTCCTGGTTTTCGACAAGGTTGTGAACCGGGGGTGTCAAAGCCGGTCATACAATTATGCGTCGTAGGTGGAAGCCGATTGATGAATTCGAACGCTGTGGAGAGGACTCCGAAGTTCCACTGGGAATAAGGAATTTGCTCTCGCTGTAGAATAGGTGTTGGCGTTGAAATGAGTGTTCTCGTCTTCGAAAGCAGCTTCCTCGAGGCTATTCTCCCTTTCGTTGCACGCGTGCCAATAGTGATGGAATTCGTCCTGGTGGTTGTCGTGTCCGTGAGTAGCTTTAATGAAGAAGTCTGGCTTGATAGGAGCCTGTCTGTCCACGATTGATAGCTAGCTTCCACTGTTAGGATCAGCCCGTAATTTCCATTGTGATCTCAAGCGCCGGATGGCAGAGGGACAATGGCCCTCTGTTTGGTACCGATGCCGTAACCGCAGCCCGTTTCCGTGTTCTTTGCTGACCATGGCGGTCGCGGTCTCGATTTCTCACTGCCTGACGAGTTCTGTGTTTCGCAAGGTCATTCCGAAAGGATACAGCTTTTGTCCACGCATACTTAAAGAGTTCGACATTCCTTTGCCACACTTGAGCGCCGGACATCTGCCACAATTCTATTTGGTGGTAGGATTGTCTACAATGTCTTCTAAGCCTCTCCTGTCTGATTGTACGAAAGTGTCAGAATGAGCATGAGTAGCCCATCCTGGGGGTGTTCAAGAACCCCTTTGGAGCTGCTCCATAGTACGGCAGATGAAGGTCGTTTGGATTCACAAGAGGCAGCCCCTTCCGTTGGTCCACTAAGACAGCAATTTCTTGTCATGCTGTTCCATGGGCTTTACGGACGTGTTTGTCTGCATCGGGTACCGCACATTTATGCAACGGGCATATCAGTACCTGATACTGGCTGTTGTACTCGAGCATTGCGTGTCTTCAATACCGAGAATCGCTTCAAGCCTGTTGTGGCATCCCAACTTTTAGATCGTTCGGTGGAACGATATGTGATGTCTGCTACCTAGTAGCGGAGTGTTCTAGGTTCTGAAATAGCTTTGAGCCCGCTAATGAAACCCGATTGGGTCTATTAGCTTGTGCACAAAGGTCTGTAATTCTTGGTGGTGGCGCGCAAAACTTCCTCAATTACTGGTAGCACTCAGTTCCAGATATCGTTGTAAGGATATATGGACCCATGAATCTTCTCGTATCGTCTCATCATTTCAGTATTGTGATCCTCATGGTTTCATTGGGCTTTAAGTGATCATCCTACTCATCCTTTGCCCTGATCCCGGTCTGACCGTCGACGTGATCAAGGGCGTCTTTGAGTTGACCGACAGGAAGAAGTTCCCCAAACCTGTCCTTCGATTCTACTCCCCCAAGGTTCAGGTCAATGCGCTCAGATGGAAGGCTCAGTATCCTGTTCGGCAAAGCGCTTGAGGAGAGTATCTCATCTTGTTGGAAATTCTCTCATCTTCCTCAATGCTCTCCACCTCAAGGTGGCTGAGACGGAAACCCAGCTGTTGCAAAGTTAGCACTGCTCTTTGTAAACAGCTGTCTGGGTCTTAATACAGGTTAGAGGAGTATGTACGAGTGTGTAACTCCATGTACATCTCCTCTGAACTGTGGTAGGATATCTAGAGACATTGCTGGAAGTATTCATACGTCGATTCTATCAGAGCCATTTGCGACCATACAGAATGAACTCTTGGTCGCCGGCGCCGTGGCTCCATCTCGCTAGCTGCAACGTAGAGAAGTCGCTGAAATGCTTCTGGTATCATGCCTGATTGGGTCGTGAGGGTGATGCTGATCAATTTCCCGTGATTGGGGTAGGGGTCATAGTCGGTTGTGCCTTGGTCTAGGTCCAGATATTGCATCTTGGCTAAGACTCGGTATAAATTGCTCATTGAGGATCTGGCATTTTGACTCTGCGAGTCTGTGGATCAAGTCATGATGTCGTCGTGCGAGTAGTGAGATGATGAGTTAGCTGTTAGCCTGTAGCCACACGGATGAGAATATCAGGGATGCGTTGCCAATGAACATCGTAAGAGGTCTCTTGTAGCATACGCTTTATGAAAAAGAGATGTTGTACTTCAGGTTCGGGGATTCTTTTCTTATGGTATCTGCCCAGGAGAATGCCAGTTGATGGGACTTTAAGGTTGGAAACACATCAAAAGGCTGCAGACCGCCAGCCAGACAGTGAGACGTTTTTAATTTGAACAGATGGTTTGAGATGAATAGGGGGCATTTTTGGCGGCGTACATTGTAGACAGGTAGTTGGCGGTTGGGAGTTCGTAGGTGTCAATGAATTACCAGGCATCAGCTGCCAGTCTGGGCGCAGGGATGCAATGCTGGCTGTAAGTCTGAGACCAGTGGCTGTTTCCTGCGCAGTAGGTGCAGAATCCGAAAGTTCCGGGTGCTGGGCCAAATCATGGGGCCGGCCCCGGAAGATGCCCTTGTGGCTTGCGCTTTGCCCCTACTTGTATCGGTTAGGAATTTCCACCCCACTCTTTCTTACCGCTGTCACAAGACACCGCGTCATTTGGTTTGCTCACCTGCCCTCAATCTCTCCTACTCACAACAGCAACGCACACCCCGACATCAACACGCTCAACCTCATCTAGAACGCAAGAATCACTCAGTCACCATGGCCGAAGACAATGAAGAACTCAACATCAGGCAGCCCGAGCAGACTGACCAGAACGAAGAAGCCACACCAGACCCCTCCGCCCCCCCAGAAAAGAAAGGTAGTACAATCGGTATCATCCCTACCTTCATTCTTCTGTATTCTACCTAGCTCATTCTTTTCCTCTTCTTCACTTAGGCTCCATGTTCTCCGCCCCCGGCAACTTCGGCAACTCCGCCGGCGAGAAGATCCAAGGCACCCTGGGCAAAGTCGGAGGACCTGTGGGCAAAGGGCTAGAGACTATAGCGGCTCCTGTGGGTGGATTGATTGATCCCCTTGTGGGAGGGTTGTTTAGGGCGCCGGAGACCTTGAAGAATGCGACGCAGGAGTCTGAGAAGGTAGATCAGCATAATGAGGAGCTGGAGAAGCCGATTGCGGGGCAGGAGCAGACGGGGGGTAATCCTTTGGGGTTGAACTCCTGAATCAAGGCGCGCTAGGAGGATATGGAAGTGAGTAAGGAGGCTCAACAATAGGAGTGTATATCAAGAGATTGGAAAGCTATGTTTATACAGTGCGGTGAAGAGAAGCTTTGAGATCTCTGGGCATATCTTCACTTTCGCTATTTGGACGGGTAAAAGGATCTTTAAATCCATTCATTGTTCTGTTGTTCTTTCTCGGTGTCATCAAGTCTAAGCCGTCTTTCTTTTCTCCCTCCACGACCATTTCCACGTTGGTCTCACATTACACTCCAGCTTCTCTCCGTGAGAGCAAGCTGTGGAAAACCATGACGGCGTTAGGAGTAGATATTACTCTTTACCTTGGAAAAACGCACTGTTGTGAGCTAGCGCTCAAGTCGACGATGGATCCGGAGCCCCCGGATCTCCACTGGGTCGCTCGTCACGGTCGTCGAAGTTGGATGTCGCAACCTCCCAGACTGCACGTTGTCCCATGCCAAGAATTGCACTCTCGCCGAACTTTACCTCGCACGTCTCGCCTATTTCTGTACTGCTGTCTAGCTCGAGCTTCAAGTTCTTGCTCTTGTCAGACGCGAATTCGCATGTGCCTTTTCTCTCACTGCCATGGCCACCATAGAGAGATCACGATACGTCACAATACCAGGAGAGACAGCGCCAAATTACAAAGTAAGTACAGAGGAGCAGCGGGCGGAGCTCTGGACGAAAGAGGTTCGATTCGAAACATGGGCCGGGTTCTATGCAAACTAGGAGAAGGAAGCGCGCTCTGCTGGCTCGTTTCTCGTTTGCTGAATTCACATTTCCTGGCCTATGATCCCATTTTCTCAATTTCTGCTCAACTTCAATAGCGGTCTTATGTATGCCCCTTTGCTCGGGGCCGCTGCTTTCTGCGTGCAAAAGGCCCCTCGAGAGCTTCTTGGCCCAGGTAGAGAAGTTTTGAAAAGCGCTTGGGTACACGAAACGCAAAGGACAACTAATTCAAAGGCGCAGGTCGGAGGATACAATTCAACCTTGCGTTTGAGGGGGATATCAAAGAGCTGAGGACTACACCGGCAAGCCACGTCATGACGATTTATATGCCGTTGACGACCCAACTGCTGTCAGTCAATTACTTTCCCACAGGCAGCCAAGATCAATGTGCCTAGTCTGGGGATCCCATCGCTGAAAGAGCGCACTGACATTCAAACTGAGACTCAATCATAGCAGCAGAGATAGACTGGGAGAAGGGTATCCAAAGCCTGAAGATCTCGTACGAAGCTCATACCACTCTGCTAAAGAACGTTTACCGAAGACAGGATGAGGCCTCCGCAGACTTGAGTGTGCCTAAAGAGGGTCTAACCGTGTTGCAAGAAAAACTCGATCTGTTGCACCGTGAACGGGCCGGGACATCAATCAAGTTGGAGGAACAACAAAACATCCTCGAAGCCATCGAACCAAACACTGAATTCAATAAAAATGAAGCTGGCGACAACAGATACTCAGCGTGAAGTCAAAAACTCCAACAGCTCTACTACGGCTCCGGCTGTTACGTCCAATTTAGTCAGTTTGGTGCTTTCGGGCACGATGCTTGCTTCAACCCATGCGTTCGCTATGCGGGCACTAGAAATATCCTCAATTGCTAGTAGTTTTTAAATTCGGGTCACTCCTACTGAGCGGTCCATCACCCAACTGCAAGCAAGCCCTCCCGGACCTGCGAAAAAAGAGGAAGAACCGTTTACTCGTGGCACCGTTGCAACACCAGAAGCCGCTAAGTCAGTCCCATCTTTCGGGAGTCCAGGAGAATCGAATCCAGACAGTGACGTTTTGGGAAGGCATCTCCACAGCCAGTCCAGCTCGCTTGCAAAGATAGTCGAGCAACCCGAACGCAGCCGGGTTCGTCACTAGGATTCGCTCTGGGGATCATCACATAGCTCACCAAAAATGGAAACGCAGCTACGTGTATAGAGGCCCAATCTGCCGTAAGAGCTCACGGGAACGCTAGGAGCCAGACACAGCGCGTCTGGTTGGTGAAGAACATCCTTGCTTTTACTCAAGGAGATGTGACCGTCACAAAGGATGACCTCCATAGCTGGCTCGAAAAAAGATACCCTGAAGCAGAGGATTTCAACATTCCTGTAAGATATATCAATGCTGGTTGTGAGATTCAAATTTATGTGTAGCACGCGGTACAGGCCAAGAATGACAGAATCACCTTCTATGCCCCTGAAAAGATACCATATGAATCGGTTAGGTAAGTCTTACTTCGCACCACACTGAATGTCGTTAATGGAGAACTTTGACAGCTCTTGGTACTCGGCGTTTTCCTCGACCTCGTCTTCAAAGAGCCCGGGGACGAGGCGGTACTAGGGGCATCAGGCATTTCAGTGCCTCGGCACCTCTTGATGCGAGAGTTTCGGAACAGTTGGACGATGGGCACTATTCCTAGAGGTATTTGAACAGCACAGTTTATTATCCGGCGAACCGGAAAGCCGACTAATGTGCCGCCTTTTAAGATGCAGCTGGATAAAAGTCTGCTAGACGACCGGTACTTTTCTAGAGCTGCTCGGGTTCGTCAGGGCATTGTTGCCAAGTACTATACGCATGCTGATTGCATGGAATTCGATCTTTTGCGCTAGCCTTAGTCTCAGTCTTCATCAAATTGCACACTACCCTATGCACCAGATGGTGATATGTATCTTCGTGTGATGATACTTGGAAGGTCCTAAGTCTTTTTTGGAAAGGATTTTCAACACCTTTCTCTTCCGAGAAATCCTTTGATCTGACCGGACTCCCCACGTCACCATTGATAGTGACAGTTATCTGGCCTAGTAACCATCGATAGATTGACAAAGGCTTGAGTGCTATTATTTTTAGACACTCTCGACTGTCGGAACGTTGGCGCAGCCCACGGTCCCTCAGCTCGTCTTGCGCCAGTGGGTTCGATTTTGTGGGAAGCTCTACTAGTACCATATATCAAGTATCTCGGCTCGTCCCTACTGTGCAAGACGCATTCGTGCTTGCCAAGTCGGAAGGTGTCTTTTTAACACCCTCAGATCCAAAGGGTGCGCGTGTATAACAAGCGAGGAAGCGAGATGAGATATTCGCGCATAAGAGTATTCCCAATAGGATTTCCCATCAACCCTCCAGTGCATTATCATTGGGCATCACGAGCATCTTTCCTTAGTGCCGAGTATGCTCCCTTCCTTGATCGCCGTCATCTTTCTCCTCGCCCCCCTTTTCGCCTCCCCCTCATCCCTCCCTCCAAGTCTTCTACCTCTTCTGCCCTCGAATTCCACTCTCAGCTCCGCCAACCTCACCGCCCGCATGAACCAGGTCAACTGCCGCCGCGACCCCGAGTCCCGACCCCTGAGCGACTTCTCAACCTGCATCCCCTCACTCTTCCGCCTCTACGCCACGCCCCGCATCCACCGTCCCGTCGTTTGGGACCCGGGCGATTTCAAGCAGTGGGGGCCGGAGACGGATCTTGGTGGCTGCTACATACTGGTCGACGGTGGGGGTGGGAGGGATGTGTTTTCGATACAGACGCTGTTGGGGCCGGCGGTTTGGGCGCTGGGGAAATGCTTTGTTGGTGAGGTAGAGAGTAGGTATCTTTTGGCGAAGACGAGGGTCGGGCCGAGGAAGGATTGGTTTGTGAGTATTGTGTTGGAGGTATCAGGAGTGGCGGTGGGGAATGGCAGTGTTTCGTAGGAAGAGGGAAATGGCTAGTGGGGATTAGTGCTGGATGGGGCCGTCGGTGTGGTAGGCTTGTGGGTAAGGTAGTAGATGCTGGTCTTTGATTTTTGGAAGGCCTATTTTCATTGTCAGGAAGTACAAAACTATCTGTGCTTGAAGTGCCGCTATAGCCACTATCCCCTTTAGTTTCGACACTAGAAAGCTAGTTTTTGATCATCTCATGCTCGACGGGAGCAAAAAGGAAACCTGGCGGCTGTCTTTGCGATTGGGGCCTCTGTGTGGTGAGGATTTGGACGATCGACTGAGCAATTTTCATGCTTACGTGGCTTCTGCGGTTCAGGAAATTCTTCTCTACTATATAAAAAGAACTGGTCATACAAGCATGATAGGAATGCTGTCAACCCAGAGCATAGCTGCCGGCATTAGTGACAGTGCTTACTATAACATCCGGCAAAATCACTCACTGGAAGTGCTTTCCACACTGGAAATTCAGCCTCTGCAGCTCATTGAACCTCGGAGCCTGATTGGTGAGTCTTTAAGATATCGAAACCTCCACCATTGAAGTCTTATACATCTATTTCCGGCTCTCCCCTGTGCTTCTTCTCACTCTTCGCAACCACTCTTGCGGCTTCCAACAGGCCCTGCCAGTCCATTCTCTTGCTCTTAAGCTCCATCGTCACTGTCTTGATACTCCTCCTCATCATCTGAATCGTCGATAACATGCTCGGTTATATACACAACCAGAGCGAGCCAGCTCGGAGAATAGTCACTGATCGAGTAACCCCAACTGCCATCAGCGGTCCGCCTCCATTCCGACCTCCTCCAAGCCGCTTCCGTGCGTACGTATCCGTCTTGGGTTGGAAGGGGCAAATCGATATGAACTCCGAGGTCCATAAGCTGGTCATATATCCATGCTTTGCCAATCCTCCTCGCTTTTGCCTCTGACAGGTATGTACCGAGCACTCCACAAGGCTGAACAGCGGTGGGCGAGACATCATGGTTGACAGCGAAAAAAATGGGTGTGCCGTCCAGGAGTGTGACCTTGTCAACCCACATCGCTGCATCATAGGTCAGGACGTAAACCTTTCGTGATGAAGTTGTGGGATTAGTGATATCCGCGTCGGAAGGTCTAGGGGAGGTCAGGAGGTCCGAATTTATGTAGGCAGAGAATGTATCTGGCGGGCTTGTGGAGTCGCCTGTAGAGGCAAGATCCCCTACGGAAATGTCAGCTGCAGGTGCTTCGTGATGTTGCAGGAGGCGAGTCAGGGCTAGTTACCTGAGTCCATGCTGCTGGTGAATGATCCTGGATGCTGAGAGAGGTTGAGAGGTCTTGAGTTGCTGGGGCTCATCGTCTGAGTCGTTCTTGTTGTTTCTAATGTTGGTTGATGTGACAGAAGTGTTACAGAGAATTTGTAGGTCCTCATCATGTCTCTGACGACTAATCGACGACTAATTGACACCAATTGACGACTAACAACACCCAGAAGGACAATTTCCGGTAGTTTCTCCAGTGGTTCCGTGACCGTGGTCGTGCCTTGATCACGCCGGACTATTCTAAAATGGTACTATAAAAAACAAATACACATGGACATGGACGACTGCACATCAATCTTCATGGTCCTAGGGTGTCCACCGTTCAGGACTTTCCTTTTTCAAAATCCTACAAATGGAAGTGCTCCTCATTCAAGCTACGAGCTTGATGGCTAGGGATCGTCAAGGAGATTCTGCTAATCCATCTCCTGTCTGCTAGCATTAGTTACACTACTTACTTTGACGTAGAAAGACCACTGATCGAACAATGCTTCTCAGTTTCGTCGACTCGATCCTGCAGCTTAAAATTCGCAGCCTCAAGTACGTCTGAGTCTGGTTTCTGCATCTCTGAGGAATCAGAGTCGTCGCCAGATTTCCGGAAGAAGCGCTTCCAAAGCCAACAAAGCAAGTATCCGTCCATGGTAATATACTTCAAAGGTCTTAGAAACCCTTGAAAAATTCTCGAACTCTTCTTCGAGCCAGCTTCGATTGCTTGCCGTTCACGGGCTGTGAAATGCGGTCGGCCTTTGGCAGCATCAGCTTCGAGGAGACCGCGCCATTTCGATATGATTCATGAGTGGAATTGGTGAAGGGTCAAGGGTATGATCAACAAGGACGTTAAAGACTTTTCTTGCATTTCCCTGTTGCTCTCCCATCTGATACTTTCGTCATGTGCTTCCGACATCCGCGTTCAGCCGGCGGGCTGCATCAACGTGGTCATTGTGTTGGTCGGGATCCGCAGAAGCCCAGTATCTACTTTTCCTCATTGATTCGATGATATAATCCGCAAAGAATCTCTGGGCCGTGAATCTCGTATTCTAGCCTCGACGTCGCAAAGTGCTTGAAGCTGCGGACAAACTCGCTGTTTGCCTCGGTACCAGGAGCTTTCGGTTAAGATGTGTGAGTCATGTTCCTTGTGTTGCTTAAGCGGGATGCACTGAATTGCTGTTGAGACCTGTGGGCCGTATCCCTCACTTTGCTGATACTGAGAGGCATGTATTGCGAGAGCAAAAAGGAGGATTCGTAAGCTAATCGGCCCAATCTCCCCAGGACCCGCACGAGCTTCCTCTTCGTCTTCTCCATTTTTATGCTCAATGGGTATGCCACCTGACTGATTGCCAGGCTTCCTTCTTGGTGCTTTTACTGGGTGTCTTCGAAGGAGTATGTTCACCAACCGGACCTGCATGGCCTTCACCTCCGCTTTCTTCATCCGAGCTTCAGACTAGTGACTTCGATAGCTGTTTAGGCTTTATAGGCGGATGGAGGATTAGTTTTGACTTCTTTCTGGGTGTATTGATGGTGCTATTGGTGATGCTTGTGGTGGGTAGTGCATTACCTGTTGCTGCAAGCACACTGGAGCCTATTATATCTTCCACATCTTCGGATTCGTCTTCCCCACGTTCGTTATCTTGATGCACGCATTTGAAACCCAGGACGAAGTACCAAGTATTATCAAGGGTGTCTTCGTGGCTAGGGCGGCGTTTGTATTTGTCGAGACCCTCCTCCCCACACAGCATGTGGATCCCTTGATACCACTTGTAGTAGTATCCTTCATCTCCTTTTGTTGCAACACAGCCATGGCGATCTTGGACGTAGCCAGCGTTGCTGTCAGTGGTGGGGTAGTACCTTGTCGAGCTTCGAATGGACTGCAAGCGATCGACAAGGAACGAAGTGGCCAATCCCATGTTGAGGAGTTGAAGCCGACAGCAAAGAGTTTCCGGAGACAGTAATTCAAGGAGAAAGAGCATGAGACGGCGAGATCAAGTCAAGCATCGCAAGAGACTTCGTGATGAGTCACAAAGTTGTGTGGCTGGCTCTGGACGCAAGGAAGATATGATGCTTAATTGTGCAAGGGCAGAGATTCCATAGTCTCGACAGCTATCTCGCGATCAACACCGTTAGTACCATTCGGCGCTGTCGTTGCTGCTGGGTTCTCAACGCAAAGAGCGAAAACAATCGCTCGGTAGCCAGCGGCCCCTAGATTCCTGCACCAAAGAGCACACTATCAAGCCCACACGTGAAGTATTTATGATATATAAAGAACCAAGTGACATTTGACTGGCGAGTGAAGTATGTTAGGAAGAGAGAAGAGGTCCCCATCTGGGTGTTTTATATTGTTTCCCCTAACGAATTTTCCCGCTAAGCCTTACATGGTCTTAGCTCTTCTTCTAGTGTGTGTTGTAGATCACTCAGAGTTCACAAGGCCTTTCACGCCTTGTCCCGTTCTTTTTAACCTTTTCCAGATTATAAATCAGTCACCATTGGTATCAGATATCTTAATCGTAGTCGTCATTCCATCAACTCGCTTGCCAAGAAGAAGGCTCCGAAGATATCGTTTAAATATAGTTGCTTGAACTCCCAAATAATGTTGTACGTGACTGATAGAAGTACCCGCTTTGCAAAAGGCGTGTCGTTGACCCAGCTCCCAACGAACGTCCTCGAAGATGACATTCCCGGCGAGCATCGCCAGCATCAGTGCTGGAGACACAAGTGATGCTGATCCCGATGAGATTCGTGAACCACGTCCTTGGAGCCTATCTATGTGTCCAAATACCAAAACGTGCCAGTGTACCCCAGAATCTACCTAATAATCCTCGAACGGACGGTGTATCCCTTTCAAACCCATTGCAGCGTATTTCAGGACGTCGGAAGTCGATACCGTAAAGGATTTGCCACTCGCCTCTTGCTTGGCATACGTACGTAACATTCGACCGCCGGCATCAACGCAAAGGTTAAGCTACTTACGAAAGGTGCCAGGCGGTGCCGACGAGACGAGAAAGAAAAGAAGACGAGACGAGACTTACCGTCTGCCTCGGAGTCTACGTACGTATCCGATGATGTATTTCGAATCGCACATGCCTCGAAGTCCACGTCCATTCTTGGTGCCGTTCGCCTCCTTCCTTGACTTGGCATATGTGAATCATTCATCCATTCTTCCACCACTTCGTACCTAAACTATTCCCACTTTCAGCGCTACCCTGCCCTCATCAAACCTCGACAAACCCGGTGGGGAAAATACGACATGGCGAGGATCGAGCTGGTTCAAGTGCGTGGGCACGATTACCACTAGCTCGATCGATTGATCGATCCTACCTGTCTGTATGTTGTGATTGTTCTTGACGCTGAGGCTACAGATATGAGCGATGCGAATCGTGGGACCACGATTCTCGTCCCTCGGTCCCCTGTATCTGAAGAAACTTTTCTAAATTTTGTTCGTTGAAAGTTGGCGTTGCGTATGTATGCCCTGCAAGCCGGGCCGGGCTCATAGTGAAAGCATACTGAGACTCTGACGGAGATGAAAATGAATGAAATGAAGGTCCCTTGCTTACGCAACACAGGGATATGTGGGGTTTGCTGCGGACACGTTTTTCCTGTGTTGACATGTGTCTACTTACTCTGACGACTATACACAGCTGTGAGACCCGCTCCCACTGAGGCGAGTTCAAAACTTTTCAAAACGCCAACACGCCTGCATCCATGCCCATGCTTTTCCCATCCCACCCGATCCATAATGCTTTTCATTTAACATTTCCACCTCACCGACTAAAAATCCCATACCTCCCCATTCCCATCGCCCCCCCCAACAGGATCGCCACGGGCGGACTCATCCTGAACCACGCCCCGCCCACAAACGCCGTGCCCGTAATCGCCACCAGCCATGGATCCGTCCCCAGCGGGCTCCCGCCCTGAACCTCCGCCGTCAGATACCCGATCTGCCAGAGTTTGTACACGGCCGTGAACACGAGCCCCACGGCCGCTGCGTTGACGCCTCGGAGAATGGCGAGGAACCATGCTTTATCTCTCAGTATGCGCCACAGGCCCATGAAGCCTACCACGATGAACAGGCCCGGCGCGTACATTGCGACGAAGGCGATCAAGGCGCCGAGGTAGGATGGGACGGGCGTGCCGGCGACGGCGAGGGAGCCGAGGTAGACGGCGAAGTTGAAGTTTGGACCTGGGAAGGCTTGGATGACGGCGAGGCCGAGGAGGAAGTCTCGAGGGGACACCCAGCCGGGGGAGACGATGTATTCGCGGAGGAGGGGTATGACGACGGGGCCGCCGCCGAAGATGATGGTGCCGGCGAGGTAGAGGGAGGAGAAGAGGGAGAAGGCTTGCGTTGTGTGGCGGAAGATGGCGTGGAGGGTGATGGTTAGGATGAAGGTGATGAGGAAGAAGACGATAATGCTTGTGCCTAGGGGCCAGGACATGGAGGAGATGTCGCTTGTTGACGAGACTGGGGGTTTCTTGGTGCGGTCGTCGTGCTGAGGGTTTGCTGGGGGATAGCGAGTAGGGGGTTGAGGAACTGGTCTTGGGTGTCGGAAGGCGAACTCTGAGTTGACACTTCCTCGAGTTGAGTACGCGGGAGGTGGTGGTGGCAATGGTTTATCATACTCTGCCGAAGACCGAGAACTGTTGAACCAGGACCCCTGCTCCAAGTCCTCAGACGTTATCCGCTTCTTCTCGTCTTCTCTTGGCTTTTGCCTCCGGAATACCTTTCCAACCTTTTGCGGGTATCCTAGATCCCATACGAGGGTTGTAACTCCAGCGCCAACCATGATGATTGGATAGTACCAGAGCGCCGTGTAGAGCATTCCCATTATTCCTCCGAGATATACCAGAAACCTTGTGAGCTTGTCGGTGATGGCTCGTTCGGATAGTCGCACAGCAGCTAGAGCAATGATGCCTACGGTCGCTGCATTGAGACCAGATAACAACGCATATACGGGTTCCGGAAGGGTGCTGCCAACTTTTGATATGCCCAATCCCAAGCTATACATGCCCAATGCGCCGGGAAGACTAACGCTACTGTCAGCCATGTATACCTCCATGACATGTTGTTGTTCAAGAGTACCCACCAAAAGATTGCGAATGCAAAGAATCCGGCAAGAAACCCGCTATGAATGGTGTTGATACAGAAGAGCATTTTGGTGCTTGCCGAACCGGGCAACGCTTGACTGATGGCAAATATTTGTTGGTACTTAAGGCTTATTAGCGTACAAGACCCGTGTTCGCAGTAAATGCTCGCACCATTGGTTCATCGATCCAACCTAGGTTCGTTACAAATTTCTCGTGGAACTGCATCGCCGTTAGCCCGTTCACAATATCCCTTTTTTTGAGAGGATCGTCTTACAGTCTGGAACTGTACAGCAGGACCGCCAAATGCTGTGAAGCCTATATGCCAATTGGCCATAATCACATCTCGGTATCGGTTCCATATCCTCATCTTCTGGTATGGTTGTCTGGAGAAAGATACAGAATGAGAGCGCAGTAAGTTGGTGGTGCAGGGAGCATAAGCTTTTTGCAGAGACGCTTTTTGTAATGGCTGAACAAGGTGGCGAAATAGTTTTTGGCATTCTGGTATACTGGAGAAAGAAAGTGGGACATGAACGTATCGGAAACAAAAGGCAAAGAAAGGTCTTCGCACCAACACTTCTACGGTCAATTTGGTTCAACGTTCGCGTCCTCGTAAGATGACGCATCAACGCATCGATGCGAGATGACGGCTTTGATCGGTTCGAGCCCAGGGAACAAGAGCAATCGAAAATGAGTGGACAACTATCATGTGTTTCAGACGTCTGTGCATGGATCGGATGTATCCGGCAGTCCAAAGAGTCAGGGCGATCAAGGAGAAAATTTGAAAGCGCTTTGCGGGAGACAGTACAACCTCTGGTCCAGTGACATTTGACCCAAGTATTTCTTTCAGATTCCTAGGCCAGACGCATGCGCCCAGACGAACTAGGTCAATCTCATTTGGGTAACTCTTTGAGTATCCTTGACTCATCACTTGGAAATTGATTACCAGAGTTTTGCTCCATCGGGAACCGAGGCATTCTGATTCGAAGAATCGATATCCGATGAGGTGATTATCTATATCATGCTTCCCCGCAACCCCAGGTTTTCGGTTTTCTATATGCGACGTGCCCGAGCGTGCCGCCCCCAGAGCCGCTCAGCCTCATGCGCCTGCCATCGGTCCTCGGATGCCGAAAGATGGTCCGGGCGCGAACAAACAGCAGAATCTTGAAATCAGACACCAGAGTATCTACCAGGCAGAGATTCGGATCTTACCAGAATATATAGCACCCTGCCTCATGAAGCTCCAAATCAATAGTCTGCGATGCATTCCTCCTACTTCGGCGGAGACCCACTCGTAGACAGCACTGGATGGTCCTTCGACCGACGACTCGGTACTGCAATTAGATGAGGTTGTCCTAATGACGTTAGCATTGTGATTTCCTTCACTACCTGTGAAAGAGTAGCTACATCTCCGTTTCGATCTTGGACTTCCAGGCTGCTGTCGTCGACAATATGTGTGGTCATCTCAATCCCAGCCTCTTCATCGCGAAGGTCTTTCGGCCGCCACGTTAATAAACCAGCAAAGACTATGATCCAGTGCACCGAGAAAACGAGGATGAATAGGATGAATAGCATGAATCCCAGTAATAATGTCAAGTATATCGACAATCTGGGATATAGGTCAACTTAGCGCATCACGATCATTGGATAGATTATACGTTTTTAAGAGTGCTCGATCCTCGGTATCGTCCGGGGCTTTCCATAAAGATGTCTCAGACGTCCACACCAAACACTGATTCAAGAAAACGCTGTTAAGCCAGCCTTGAAAGAAGCTGACGACAGAAGCAGCTAGCATCCAAGTTATCTGAGTTCGGCGTGTTGCCAGCAGGCCCTGCTTCTCGAGGTGGAACATGGCATGACTCCCTCGGGCGTAGTCTGCTTGATGCTCAGGTCTCACGCTTTCGAACATCCCGGCGGTCATGTGGAAGGCGACCACGGCAGCGAAAGCAAGGTATAAAGGTATGTGTTTGAGTTCTTCGCAGCCGGCAAATAGCCAGAAGCTATCACTTGTGCAGTTGAAGTTCATTTTGCTAGGGCGAACCGGAGCTCTGGACAGCGGAGCTTGACGTGTCTAGTATATGAGCGGCCTAGCTAGTAAGATACAAAAAGTAACGATAGCGGAAGCCCCTGCGAGAAGTGATGACGGTAAGATTTGAATGTTGATGCTTCAAAGGAGTCGGAAAACGAGGTTCCGCAACGAGGTTCCGCAGTGAAGTTCACTGCGACTTCCCTTTTTTTCCTCGTACAGCAACCTCGGAAACCTCGTAAGGCGCAAGCACGATTCTGCGAGTTTCATCATTGGCTTACCAAACGCTTTTTGTCTGACAATCTATCTGGATTAACAGAATTTTCGTCGCATCATTCTTCCAATCCAGCTCATCATAGACCATGTCTTCCACGTCCTTGTGCTCTTAGTCGCGCAGCAAGACATCCTGCTCCAAGAAGAATACATTTCCACCGCACATGTATGTAGTGATACTGGCCTTACGCAGGCTGTTAGTTGCTCAATTGGGATCTTCCCATCCTTTCGCCCGTGACAACCACTGTTTATCACATTTCCACCGGATCAAACAATCCAGACAAGTAAGCGACCTTGGATCAGATCCTGCGATCTACTCAGGACAGCAGGGATACTCGACGAGCATCCGAAAACTCAAATCCTGGCAAGCTGTCACTGTCTCAATGCTATTCACACACATCTACGCAACAGAGACCATGCGCAAGGTATCCGGCAAATGGTTCCTAGTGGCAAATCCAAAATGAAGATTGGAGAAAACAATTCTTTAAGCCGTGAGTCTACAAGTACCCTTCGAGTCTTTTTCGGTAACTGAACTAATCACAGGTTCCTATTCAATGGCACTTTTCAATACCGCATCCATGGAAACCTGATCGAGATGAGGCGGCCAGGAGGCGACATTGAAAGCAACGGGCGATAAACACGTGTTTCAAACAGTAGGAAATGGGTGAGGCCCCAGAAGGGTAACCGGCGTAGGCTGGACCCCAGTGCTGTGAGGGACATGGCATTGGAGGAGGACATGGTAACTGCGTGCATCTGAGGCAGTACATACTACATTGAGCTCCGACAGGCATGATTATCTGGGCACAGTGTTTAAGCTCCTGACTGTCCCACGGGTAATGGATTATGGAGGTGGTGGAGGCACAGAGGCATTGGGGTTTGCGCTATGTTGTAGCCTGTAACTTGCCTCGTGGTGCAAGGAATAGTCTGCACCGGCCACCGAGGGTCCGCCAGAATAGGAAACTACAAAATAATGTAGAGGGTGGCGGGAATGGCCATCCTCCAACCGCCCATGTCGCTGCCGCGGCAGGAAGTCCGTAGGGCTGAAGCCATTACTCGTACGTCATCATGGAGAATCGAAAATTGGCATGGACGACGGAATAAAGTACTTCCCAGTAACTTCGGTAGACTTACGACGATTACCATTTGCTGTCGTCCTGGCCACAGTTTGATAGGACCAAGCTCACTCTCACCCCCAAGTCATGATTTCAATGATTGCAATGGTTTCACTCTTCTTCATCTTAGCTTTGCATCAATCAGCATCATGTCCTCCCACTGCTGCTTTGTTTAACCAGCTCTCTCACACTCTTTACCCAGCATGCGAGACACCTTGAGGACGCCTCGATCACCATCAGAGCCCTCAGCGGCCTTCCCAGCACTTCCAGCTACTGAGTTGGGCTCCATTCTGAACTCCAACACTTCTCCGGAACCACCGACAAACGGGCTAGCCTCGCCCCCGAACGGCAATGCCTCTACAACTGATACTCATGCCTCCGTAACATCCTCTCCTCCTCCGCGGCTCCTGTCCCAACTTCCATACTCCCTCCGCGACCACAAACAAAGCATTGCCGTAATATGGACACTCGCCCTCGATGCGGCAATCATACCTCTCGTACTCTTCTACCCTCTGTGGTACGACACTAGTCTTTTGCCGGCATACATATTCGCAATAACCACGGCATTAGTTGGGATGATAAGTGGGCTAGAGTGAGGTTCTCGGAGCTGGTCATTGTGAAAGAAGGAGGAGCTGAGGCCGTTTGGGGGAAAGAGGAATGGCTTTGACTTCTTCCACATCAGTTACACGACTGGGTATGGGATCAGGTTGGTAAGCTGCATTTCCGCCCACACTCGATCCTTCTTCGGCACCATGGCTGACAAGCTCGTTCAATTAGGTCGAGCTCATCGTTGGCGCCACGCCTCAACAACCTTTCATCCGCCTCTGCGCCATGCCTCCTCCCTCCTTCATCCTCTTCATGGGCGGCGCGCTCCTCCTCTTCTCCATCTTCCAAGCCTTCCACATACCCGATCCTTTTGAAAAATGCTCACAGGAGAAAAACGCTCCAGCGCGTCCAGGAACCTACATGATCATCGAAGACGTCATGGCAGTAGACACGGACGTGGGAAGGGCCTACCGGAGAGCGATCAATGAGAGATACGAGGCTAGTCCGATGTTCAGGAATATGCTGCGTCAACTGAATATATTTTAGCAATACTGGCACTTTGTGTGGGGGCGGGGGTGACGGCGGCGGTCGTGGATAACAGGGTGCCGCAGATTGTTGTATATGGTATAGGTATGGCCATGGCAGCGGTATTAAGTTAGAGAAGCATGCTAGCCATGTGACAGGGTGGGGTATTCCTCCACTTTGGGTAGGCATATGGGTGCTGGTCACGATACAATGGGTGCAAAATGCATTGAGAAGGGAAAAAGCAGCATGATGTAAACAAGACAGAGTATGACCAATACAAGTCGTTTGTATTCAACCCGTAGCATCTTCGTCACTCTGGGTGCTCCATCGCCGGTGTGCCCCACCGCTAGAGCCAAACAAATCGCAACGGGCTCCCTGTTATGCCTCTTCCTCGTCTCTTTCTTCAAATGGGGAATAGAGCCCGGTTCGCTCTTCAAGTCGCAACCTCGCAAAGCAGCTGGATGTCGGGTTTTCTGAGCAATCTTCATGCTCCGTCACAGCCCTGCCTGTCATCCTAGGATACTTCAATCAGTCAGCGGGAAGTTCCATACATCCGTCTAGACGCTCACATCAGCGCCAACGGTCCCGCATTCTTCTTCTCCCTCATCTGTGCACAACATTCTTCTCACAATGCCCAGGCTATCGACCGCTGGTGTCACCGCTTCTGCCGCAGTCGTGCCCGTTCGAATTAGGCCTGGTGGACCAGGAATTACGGAACGAGGAGCAGGCCGGGCGATGACGGCTTTCTCGCGAAGCAGCAGCCTGCATTTCGCGAAGCAGGGCTTGGGTGTATCTGAAGGTGTCAACGGAATGGATTACATGTAATTGCCATGTCAACGCACAGTTTGGGAGAGGAATCGTCGTGGCTATGGTGGCTAGACAGCCAACTGTGAGAAAGACGATGTGAGAACGCATCCCCTCGATTGTTGCAGAAGGTTCCGTGTCTGCGGCATTGCGTCTGAAGTATCAGTTGCAAGACACTATTGCTGCTACGACAGTGGCTTTTCCAAAAGTGGAGCTCACCCAAGTTTTGAAAAGCGAGGTGTGAGCAAGTTTGCGACACTGAAGCCAACGCACCACAATCTTTGTGATTCGAAGTCGCCTTTGATAGATATCTTCGTCCATGCTCCGTCTTCTCCAGGATATCTTCGGGGAGAAAATAAAAAGCACCGCAACACCATTGTACCAGCGCCATTAGCCACAGGTTTTAAAGTTCCGTCGAACGGTGTTGGCGAGGGCTTAGGTTCGAATCCCATACGACGCATGTTGGTTGTGGTCGTGTGGTTGGGAGTATTTAGTTTGTACCGAATTAATTGACTTGTAAGGTAGTATTTCATTATAAAGTAGTATCGCATATAAAGTATGGTTCCAAATGACTATTTTGAAACCACTGGGGGTTTGGTCATATAAAGTAGGTATTTCTGAGACGGTACATAGATTACTTAGTCATCTACATAGCCAATCAAGTACCCACTCCAGTTGCCATGCTTCTACCACCACTGTTCGTCATCCTCGCCCGTAGAGCCTCTTCGTCGTAGTCCATGCAGTAGGTAGGCTCGATACCTGTAGAGATAGCCTTATTGGATGGAGGTGATGCGATTGAGGTAGTGGAAGTAGCTGAAGTAGCTGAAGTTGAGCCATTGATGGAGAAGATACCTGAGAAACACGTCTTGACGCGGATCAATTTGGTAGGTAACACGCTATTCATCCCTGTTTCTCAGCTTACTAACTAGCGGCGACATGTATAAAGTCCTACTGGCATATAACGCTGTTTTGCATATAAAATACGGTTATAGTGGTGGCAAATACCATCGACACCATATAAAACTGCTACCTTATAAGTCAATTAATTCGGTATTAGATTCGATTCTTAATAGCGCTAGTGTAATAGTATTACGATGCTTTTTATTTTCTGGCAGCGTTATTAGTTATAGATTTTAAAGTTTTATCGAACGATGTTGGCGAGGGGCTCAGGTTCGAATCCTATACGACGCATTAATTTGTGAAGCGAAATATTCCCCGTTGTTTATAGTTCGAGGGCGGATACCTGTTGGTTATAATCGTATTGTTGGGGATATTTAGTTCGTATTAAGTTCGATTCCTAGTGGCGCTGGTACAATGATGTTGCGGTGCTTTTTATTTTCTCGGGGGACCGTCATGCTTTAATAGAAGTCTATGGGACTGACTCAACCCTTTACCCTTACTACCCACTGAGTGTGAATCATTACCTAGAAAGGTTTCCGATGATGGGATCAATTCTCGCATCACTGACCCTCTGGTTGAAAGATTTCGATGATTGCTTGCGACGTCTCGTTTCGCGACAGCATTCAGCACTATGGAGCACGGGCGTGCAATATCGTCAAGCGAATACCGACTACCATGCCTTTGCATCTCAAATAGCCATGTCGGACCTATTCTGCTTTCCAGGACCTCCAAGACGAGAACCGGCTAGGACGCTCTCGTACGGACCTCATCATCATCACCATGAGGTTCACCAGTCCAACCTCTTTAACCAAGGCTTCAGACCTTGCCAACAAGAATTCAGCTAATGGTCATCTCCAATCTCGAAAATCATCTCACGCATGTGCCTCAAAACCACAACCCGCGAGTCCGGGTTCTTGATCAAAACCTCCTGGCCGAAGTTGTCAAATTTTGAGAAGTGCCCGCTCGTATGTCGCTTCGAGCTAGGTTCCTGAGTGGGTCTCAAAGAACGGACAGATAGAGCGTGCGGTTTCCGTAAGAGAAATAGGCTGCGGAGCTTCTTCATTGTGGCTTCAAGCCATAATGTCACCAGTGAGTGCAGGAAGTGACCGGACACTTTAAATTAGCGTGGCAAGTCCAAGAACTTCGAGATGAGAATTCTTGAACAGATTATTTTGATCACGAACTTGTAGACCAGATGTGAAGTCGCAAAGTGGCCCGCAAAGATTGATACTCGAAAGCAATTTTGCGAGGACTTATCTGCATTGCGATAGAGTCAAAACCCCCGATGTGCAGTTCTCACGAGGATCAAATCTCGACGTGTCCGATGGTGTTACGCTTTCACTAATGGGATCAAGGTACTCTCGTTTTAAATGGCCATGAAGGAGCTCCGCGGTTTCCTGGCCTTGCAGAAAGATCCCGCTGAGTTTCTGGTTCCTTGACACTGATACGATAAGGATGGATGCATTGAGAAGGGACCATCTAACATTGACTTCGAATTACATAGATACCACAGCTTAGCGGAACCCGCCCTGTCATCATTAATTGCATGAACACTGGACATCAAACGGACAATGGGCTTGCAGAAGAGCATTGGACTAACATCATCTACCTTGACGTCAAGACTTAGAATTCACGCTCGTGTTAAAATTAACAGATTCTACATATGCAAAACATACATAAGCTCTGCATCTACCCACCCGGCAGGCCCCTCCAAACCACCCCCCCCCCCTCCGGCTGCGTCATGTCGCTCCCATTCGCCTGAAAACAACCATTCGGTTAGCTGGATCATCTTCCCAAAGCGCCACCGCGATCCCCGACCCACGCTGCGCTTCTGTGCCCTGCGCCCATATACCCGACCAGGTTCTTCCCCTCTGTCCCGGCAGTTGCGTAGCGGCGATGGCAATGGAGTGTGTGTTCCTGGTAGCGGAGGAAGGACCCAGAATGGCAGAGGGAGGAGTTGGTGCGGACGGAGAGGGGGATCGGGATCTGTGATGGAAACGCAATGCGTGAGAGGCGAGGAGAGGAGGTGGTGCTTTCGTGTGGGCGAGAAGGCGTGCCTTGGTTTCGAGACCCGAGCGGGATACTCTACATGTCGCGGTGGTATTATTGTTCCCCGGGTTCAGGTTCGAGTCGATCTGATGTGGTTACGGCCTCATTTGATTCTGCTCATGCAAAAGGTACAGCGACGCTTTTTTCTTGCGCATCTGCTGAATTCGATGTCATTCCCGCATCGCTGTTGCTACTTGGAACGTACGTAGAACCCGCAGATGCTTTCTTGTCGCCTAGGCGGAGGACCAGCTCTTGCACAAGGTCGTCGTCTTTGGATCTATGTTACGGCCGTAGCCTAGCGCTCGTGTCTGTGTTGTCTTCGCCGGATGGAGTGCTAGCGTGAAGTGCTGTTGAGCCAATGGTAGAGGATGGGACCGCGAATATGCCTAGGCACCCCTTGTTCGCGGTGGACCATTTCCTCTAGAATATCCGATGAGCTGATGTAGAAAAGATGTGCCTGTTTCGCGGCAGCCTCAGTGCCAGCTACAGACACTTTTCATCACACATTTCGCTGGTATCCGTACGGTCAAAATACCAGCAAAAGTGTACTGCATGGCTGCCAGCGGCGTGCCGTTCCTCGCCCTGGACGTCACGATCGTGGGCGCGTCTCGTGCTTCGAAGCGCTGGCTCGTGGTTTGAGCGAGCAGATTTGGCCGAGCTGGTTTTGGTCGAAGGTGTAGAGATGCGAGTTTAGGCCTAGATTTGCGATGCCGGTGCTGTTGAAGGCTCATGAGACTAAGAAATCTTTGAAGGCTTGAAGTGTGACTGCTTGCGTTTGTTCCAGAGGATGTGCCATTGCCAGCTCGAAGGATACTTTATCAATATTGTGGGAAACATATGTAAATTTGCAAGCGTATCTAACATGGGGCTTACTGTCACGCAAACCCAACCGCAAGGCAATAGCCACGACCACTACCACAATGACGAATAAAAGAGCAGTAATCGATACCCAGCGGCTTTCCTTCATTCCAACGGGTTCTGCCACTGCCAGACCAGGGTATCTGGATTTCCGAAATATCTCCTTGCTGGTGTTGTAGAACCATTCTTTCTCTTCACGACTCACTGCTAGCTGAGGAGGGTAGCATTCGTCGCGCTAGAGCTCCGCCGGTATGCTTTCTAACCCTAACTGAACCGGCACGGCGTGCAGGTCGCGTTGGGGTTGATCGACTTCAAGTCTTTCGTAGCTAGTATCTGTCGGATCGTCAAGTGTATGATCTAGATAGAGCGACGATGTCGGAGTCGTTACGAAGGAACGCATGAGTAGGGCTGATGTGAATAGATATTAGTCACAGTCATTACAGAAGTATGTGCGGTGGTGTCGTGTCAGACAGCAAAGATCCTGCAGAGTTTTTTCGGCGCAGTGCGGTTCGTGGACTTCGCCTCGCTGTGAAGGGTAGGATTTGAGATCTGGCTTTTCGTCATGTCGGATCTGGAAATTTGGGAAACAGTTGAGATCGTGCACTTTTACCAATGTTCATGACTGAACGGAATCGTACGCAATCTAAATGCTGCGATGATGAACAATAGATGATTTTTGGGGAAATGGGGTTCGGAAAAAGATGGGTCGAGCGTTACAGTTACTCATGTACACAAAAAGGTAACAATTGCTTTTAGTAGAGATTGCACGAGGGACGAGCTGTAACCTGAGCTGAAACGGCCAAGTCAAGGATCGAAGAGGTACGTCTCAATCGCCATCACAAAGAGCCCCGCAAGATCTTATGGGATACGTAGAGATAAAAGAAATCGTTTTACTGTAAGCTCAGAATGACACTCGCACTACATGCACCACGACGTCAATGTCCCGTGTAAGCGCTGACTCCGGTATAGTTGCCAGGGCCCGAGTAACGCCCGACGATAAAATTGGCTCCGTTTCTGGTCTTGGCCATTGCGACCCCAACGTGAGTTGTTGAGGGCCAGATCACCTAGATTCATCAGCTCTGTCGATCCCACTGGGCGCCAACCACTTCCAATTTGTTTGCGGCTTCGTTTTTTGGAAGTTGAAGAATGCACATACCTGCGTGTAATGCCCATAACTCTCAAAGTTCCCCTGGCCAATCTTCTCCCCATGATACATCTTCCGCTCGTTAACCCAGCACTGACTCCCATCCGCCAACGTGCCTCCGGCACTCGTCCAGTAAAGATTCTCTCCTTGACCTGGTCTCTCAGCGCCGGTACTGTGCTGAAGACCAGCGTCTCTGGAGGCGAGATAGTGCGCCCATTCTTCGGCTGCGGCGGCAAGGTGCGAGTCCCAGATTAGTTCTGGGCGGTGGACTGAGGTCTGCTTGGTGGCTGCTTCGCGTGCTGGGAAGGATGGTTAGTTGGTTCGGGAATGCAGTTTAAGGGTGGTGCAATACCTTGATTGTGGATTTTGAGAGCTTCGCCCTGCCCGGGTGACACATTTGAGGCGGAGTGGGGATGAAGTTGCGCCTGCTCATGCGAAGGATGCTCAGGGTGTTCGTACCCGGCGGGAAGAGGCTGCTGGATGGCCATCGTGCGAGAGAAGGGCGTGGAATGCGAAGTCGTATGTGGGCGGATATTTGCAAAATAATGATCAACTCTATCGCAACAGGTGAAAGCTTCCGAACCTTGTAGAGGGAATCAAGAGGCTTTTATAGACTTAAGTAAGCCGAAATGTGTCCGAGGCGTAGAATCGTGCTTTGCATTTTGGGGGGTTACAGTAGTTGCGGCTGAAGGTGGCATTGCGATAGGATCTGGGATGAGGCTGAGCGAAGGATTGGGTGATGTATGCTATGTTCGCCATGGAAGCCACTGCATAAACCCGCCCGAAATTCAAGTACATAGTCAAAGGCGTAAGATATGTGGTTGCACGGTAGTAAGCATGGCTTGCCTCCAAGATACGCCTATGCGCTCGTGCAAAATGCTACTCTCGGCAACCAAGCGTCTTCCTTACATCAGTTTTCTGCTATCCTCGATACTTGGGCAGTCTATACGCAACATGGATGGCGAGCAAGTCCAGACTCCATAACGAGTAAATCATGATTCTGCTCAAGCTCAATGGTATTCTATCGTTAGCCTCATTACTCCACTCGGTCGTTGCCCATAGGAACAGGGCTCATTCGTATCAGTAGTCGGATTAACTCAATTCATTGTGATGCATCAGTGCCATAACCACGGGCCTCCGTGCACAACGTGCGTGCGTTCTGCTCTGTACGTGCTTTCAGTCACCTAGGACGAAACGATGATTGACGAGGAAAGAACACGTAGAGATGTCGAGTATAGTGGTTGTAACGGTGGGCATAACAGCTTTGGGTTACAGTAATGGCACATCGCTAGCCGAACAGTGGCTAGCGGGTCAACTACTTCTCCAACGCATCGAAGATAGAACACTCCCACTGCACCCTTGCAATTGATTTAGATGGTTACAGTGACAGGCACCTCTTTGTTGAGGTCGCCACGACTCAAGATCAGCATCAGGTGTGATTGGAGAGTTCCAGCAGGACTCGATCGCCACCCCCACTTCAGTGTCAGCGACAAATCACCAATCGTTGACTGGCAGTCGAGTGTGAATCATATCTCACGTCGCCAGCCCGCTAGTCTTTTGCTCAATAGTGATATTTCCTCTTCTGACCAAAGGTTTGGAAATTGAGATCCACTAGGCCCACGAGTCTCGCATCACGGTTGCCTCCAGAATGCTGCTCGGCTCTTGCAAATTAAAAAACAACAGATTCAGAACAGCCAGACAAGGAAGTACACGGGAATTCCTTGAAGATCGCCGACCAATGCCAGGATCAAGGGTGCTCAGTGCAACCGATTAAAAAGAGATCCTGCTAACACACAGCAACAATGAATCACTTAGGTTGCAACTCTTACTTGACACAGTCATAGAGGACATGTGACAATATAACATCATCCGCCCAATCAAGTTGACTCGACACGTCGTTGTCCATTCAAAGGGTTAGAACCGCTCGCCACCTAAATGTATAAAGGTGATACAATGACTGCAATTCAAGCTTCTTTTCTTCGCACAATTTCATATAAGACGCTTTAACCCTCACACTTTGTGAAACAATTACGGAAACACGTGGTTTATACATATACCCCTCAAGTTCAGTACATGTCTCTGTTCCTGATGGTTTGCAATAACAACGCAGAAAAGTCACTTTGAACAATCATCGATGACGATTACGCGGGACGCAAAGACGACCAGTACTGTAAATATAAGAACGAGCAAGTTTATAACAATGGCGACAAGCATAACTGACAGCGAAATGATAAGTCGTGAGATGATTGGGGTCCTTGTTAGGTAGCTCTGGTGGACAATTCAGAGTCCCTTGCTCGCTGTAGGGACACACATCAACCACGGTTTCCGCAATGCTGTTGAAAAGGAGACAGCAAGGTCTAGGCTTCTATGCTGCAACGGCAAACGGAATGATATTCCATCAAGTGCACCAAAAATGCCTTAAAGTTTGTGCTGGGATTGTCTATGATGGGGAGTGGACGAGTGCGTGATAAGGTCAGTGCCTAACCTCATCCGTTTTTCGAGAAACACCTCAAGAATGATTGATCGCTGAATCAGGCCTGCAGGTGTGGCGCGAGCAAGCAGCATCTCCATCATGTCTAGCATCTCGAAGATCAAAGCTTGCGCTTCTATCTACAGCACTGAAAGAAAGGACACTTAGGAACATTGGGACCCCTAGCACGCTAGGGATTGCTCAGCCAATAGTCTCTGTTCGTGTTTTTCTGTCTGTCATGTTTTGGAATGCTGCGGAAAGATAAAGTTTGTGCACTTGTCCTCTCTGGTGTCGATTAGTCGTCGATGGCATTGTCTCGGCACACTAGAACCTATAAATTATTGTAATTTTCTTTCTTCAACAATCAACACCAAGAAGAAAGTGCATCAGGTCTGACAGCCACAGAGCCCCAAAGACTTTGCATAATCCTGAATCGTTCGTTGCCACCATAATCTCTGGTAATGTACCTGTCTTTGGCTTCATGCAGTACCAAGGATAACCACAATTAACGAGAGCTCAGACAATCCAAACCCCACAAGCCATACGCAACGCCGAAGAGCTCCTACAGCCAACAGGAGCGGGATGGATTCGGGCAACCAGACCTCCTTCGTCGCCAGCATGCTCTCTGGTAATGCAATCCCACTAGCTATACGCAGAACCATGGACAGCCGCAGCTAACTGGAGCTCAGACGATCCGGCCCCGACTAGCTATGGGCAACAGCAACGAGCTCCCATAGCCGACAGAAGCCTAGTGGATGTGGGCACGCAGACATCCCCTGCACATCCGGAGCTCTACGTCGTCTCCTACGACGCCCAGAAGTGGTATCATGGCGATACAACCGACACGATCACCCGTCTGGACGGGAAAACAATCCACATTGGTCCGGCCGAGCTCGCCGGCGACAGACAGCTTTTTGGCGTCCTCGGCGTACACGCTTCGCTGGACGCAGCGGGAACGGAGGGGCTTTCGTGGTTGTACAATCAGCTCAAAGCCGTCGACCCTGACGTCGCCCTACCCATCCGGTTCAAGACCATTCCCCCTGTGGGCAAGTGAGCTGGAGAAAGTCGCTATGGGGTCAATCTGCGGATGGCAGTTCAATGTATGCCATCAGCGATACTTTCAGAAGCGTCCAGTTGGTCGTACTCGTCACGAGTTGTGGGCGGGACGAATCGGAGGCTGAAGGTGGAGAGGAAGGGCAAGAGGAGAATGCGGCTGGTGGGAAGAAGGATGGTGGAGAAGTAGAGACCACGGGCTTGCCGAGCCATGGTGGAGACGTACGGGTGGGGAACGCTGGAAAGCGCAAGAGGGAGGATACGGAGAGAGGGGGGAGATTGGAGGGACGGAGACCGGTGGCCAGGATGACAGCGGTGGATACGGACAGGGACGAAGGGCTAAGAAAGGCAAGACCGACGAGGCCGTCGTCATCCCTGCCCATATGTCAGAGGCCGTGGACCTACTGTTGACCGTGAAGCGAGGGAGATGATAGGGACTTGAACTACAGGCACCCGCTCTAGCCCTGTTACATCTATCATTACGCGTGCTTGATTCGATCCGGCTCTCTCTTGCTAGCCTTCACGACCACGTGAGTCGTATCGGCGGATTCTACAAAATAGATACACAGCATGTCTAAACTTTCCTCACCAACTCAACCCCTTCACCCTCACCACTCTTATTTCATCTCTCATTCCCAGCCCCAGAAAGCTCCACAAGGCCAATCGAGGCAGACGTGATGTCCGAATGAACTACTTGTCGCCTTCTCACCCACCACGGCTGTGAAGCCCATATTTTGAATCCATCAACACAGCTCCAAAGATCGAAACTGGTGACGGAAACCCACGACACGCCTCAGCAAAGCCCCCGCCCCCTCATCTTCCATGATATCGGCCAGTCCTCACAGTAATCGGCTTGTATCATGTTTCACTCCTTGCGCGTCGGCAGCTGCGGTGAATGATGGAATGGACTTTTCATGACCGAGGTATGTAGTTGCGAAATAGTATGCATGCGCGATGAAGCAGCGGGATAGAGAGCTGTTGCGACGCTGGTGCGCGTCATGTTATGTAGAGGGATGGCATCGGGTGAGGGGGCATTCTGTGGGAGATGAAGCAGTGAATCGACTTAGGGTGCAAGGAGACATATGGCGAGAGAGGTTGATACTGTGAGGGGCTGGTGGGGCTGTGAGAAGTTGCGTCTCGTGTGAAAAGCATACTCGAATGCATTGAGGCAAGAATGCAGTAATGAATCACTCTCGCCCATGTTGAGAGAGATCAGTTATCGGACATACGTGAACAGTGCAGGGTTTAACTATCCTGTACTCTTCCGCTCTTCCACATATTCTCTTCTTACCATTTTTTTTCCGGCTATACAGGGTGTGCCATACTTTCGACTCAAGTTTCACGGATCAAAGGAGTGAGGATTCTCTGCTCGTTGCTTGATTGCAGAATTTCACAGACGCTTGTTGTCAATTCAACATTTCCCTTTCCCGCACGAGCTCGCATTCTGGTCTGTACCAGCTCGGTCGAACGCTTACGATACATTGCATCTGTCCGTTCTCGACGTCTCATCTTAATAGACTGTTGTACTAAGTCCCTCTCATCTTCCTACCCAGTCCTCCCGCCGCTCTACAAGCCTCTATGAATGTCTGACGCGCAACAAACAACCTCGCAGCACCGCCCTACCTCTTCTCCCAACACGATCCATCAGGATTTCCTTCGCCGTCTCTTCGCCCTCGCGCTCTCAGGCACAGATACACGGTCATCGGCAATAATGAGGTTGTCCGGATCGACAATGCTTCCTCGCAAGTTCTGCCTCCCACTTCCACCCGTCCGTTTCATACGTCCGGGGCCCAGTTGCGCGAGTTGGGACGGCGTTGGGTATTCGAAGGTGTGGTCTGCTGGTTCGAGGTCGCGGTCGCGGGTTCGCCGAGGAGAGGGGTCCCAGCACATCGTTGTGGGGTTGGAGGATGAGCTCTATGCTGTGGGTTTCTTTGATGTTGGGGTGTTGACTGAAGGTGAGGTATACAGGGGAGAGAAGAGGAGAGAAGGGTTGGAGGTCTTGATGGATATGCTTTTTTATAGAGAGAGAAACGAGGCAATGAGGCGATGTGCTGTCAGCAGAAAACATCGGAGTCGCTGTGGTCACATGGGAGTTGGTCCTTGGACTTGCAAACATTGTTTTCGGTTTGAACGTCAGATTCAGACCGTGGCCCGAGGTTTTCAGGAGGGCGTGGTTTTCCTTATCCGGAAACCGGGAAAAAAGAAACCATGTCGGTTTTCGTCCGCCGTCCTAGACATTTCTGTTTCTTCCACACGCAAATAAGATGGCCACAGGACACCGTTTATGAGATCCAATTTCATGTGACCTTGTTCTCTAACTCCAGTCGGAGGTCCTCACTTTTCGCTTCATCTTTATCCGCGTCGCTATACCCAAGATGATTGCTTTGTCACATGAGCGTTCAATCCGTCAGCAATGGCGCTCTTTCAATGCTGGGCTAGATTCAACGGCAGCGGTGGGTCTGAACTCCGTTCATGCTTAGCACTGTTTGGATTGCTATGACCGGTATCCGCGTCTCTTTGAAACATTTTCAAGAGCTAGTACCTGATACTTGTCCAAGCAATTTCCCTGATTGATAGCGTCTCTTATGCTCAGATTCTCAACTAGTCTTGAGATTGCGTTGGCAAACAATCGAAGTCTGGAGATCCCCTCGTCCGCGGCTTCTTTCAACCGTTTCCACATTGGCTCTTCTTCCGACGTTGTTGGAGATTGTGCACTGATCCCCGCTTGTCCTATACAAACTGCTACTTTCTTGTATTAAAAGGCGGAAGTGTTACGTCCCAAGAAGCAAGAGTAATGACGTAGCCTCGAATTTTCTTTGGCTACAATGGCGTAGGTTTGTAAAAGGCAGCTTCAACACATGCCCCTTTCTCTCAGGTGGAGGTATGATCGACCACATAACCGAAGCACCGTAAGCGAACATCTCTCAGAGCTTTACCGTCTAAAGTCATTCCTAAAAGCAATAGCGTGATTGTTGAGACAGCTCAATGGTGTCTTAAGAGCCTTTCGCGCCCAAAATGTGTCTTGCAGCTCCGAGGGTGCTCCGCGGTACCAAATCCTGTACCTTGAATATGGACTTATGGGTTTTGACCATTTAAACCCCGTTCATGCTACAAACGAAGGCCACTTTTGTACCCTTTTCCCTCTTTGCTGATTACATTAAGATTCGAGAACAACGGACGGAGAGATGTTCATTACCCAAGCTTCCAAACCCTTTGATGACATTTCTTTCCGCACCGAAAAAGAACCTCTGTCAAGGAAAGGCCCCTTGGACCGTGACTTTCCCCTGTTCGAAATCTTCGCCAGTGTTGCCGTTGGGGGCTTCCAAATGCGTCTTAGCGCACAGATGGAGCGTGTTTCGTCCCTTTCTGATTACGTTCCGGGACGGGGCTGGGCGAAGTGACCGTGACTGCATTGTCGATGGGGATTGCATGTGTTGAGTCTGTCGATCTCAGATCCTGCAGACTTGCTGTTATGTTTCCTCGACACTAGGATTCATTCACCACATTCGAAAGATAGCAATTACAAGTCCCGTTGCTTGATTTCTCGTTTCGCCACACCATAGTTACCATCACTTCTTTCGATTGAGGGTTAGCTCGAAGAAGCGATCAACGATACCAATAGTGACAGAAAAAAGGAGTTGAAAGCTCACCATGTCGGTACCTATAACCCTGGCTAGATCCCTTCGACACCGGTACTCTTCCACGACACCTTCCTAGTTGTGGCACAACGAGACATCGCATAAAAGCCCCATCAACCTCTCAGTCTACCACCATCCAGTCACCACTCGTGTAGCCGACACCACACCGACCTCCAGCATGCCTCCGACAACGCAACCCTCAAATCTTCCAACGCAACCATCCACGTCGCTCCCATCACCCCTCCCCCGCCCACCCACCGTCCGTCCCGCACCCCTGCCACAACTACCGACGGAGCTCATCGTCCACATCTTCCAATCCGTCGACCGCTTCGCCACCGCGTCCGCCTTGAGCCAGACCTCCCACCGCCTGCGAAACGTCTGGCTCGCCCACCCCACCGCCATCCTCCCCCACATCATAGAATGCTTCCCCCAAGCCCGCGAGCTGGCCGCCGCCCAACACCGCGCCCGCACCCGCCTCTACCCGCCCGCCTCCCCCCAGCGCACCATGTCCCCCGCCCAACGCATCGTCGACAACCACACCCTGGCCTCCATGACCTGCGCCCACTTCGAAGCCTGCGTCGTCCGCGCTTCCACACACGACGACGACGACGGGCTGCTGCTTCTTCTCCCGTCCCGCAGCGATCTCTCCCCGGCCGAACGGGCGCACTTCACGAGGTCCCACTACCGCGCCCTGACGCTGGCGATCGAGAGCGGCGCCGGCCGCGTCCCGCGCGCGCTCCTGGCCCCGTTGGACCTGCTCGAGTACCTGCGCATGCGGGAAGCGATGACGTTCATGCGGACGCGGTGTCGGTCCTCGTCGCTCGACCGAGCCACCGCGCCGCCCACGCTCGAACCCCATTTCTTGACCGCGACCGCGTCGGCCCTGCTAAGGCTCCTGCATGAGGATTTGGAGGCCCTGTCGGTTTACCCGCGGGATGTCGTCGGGGAGGGGGGGGCTAGGCCGTGTGGGTACTTCACCGTTAGGGATGGTTACGGGGGGGAGGCGGGGGGGGGGGTGGCGCGTGGGGTTCGGTTGGCGGATCTTTTGGTGTTGGTGGGTGAGAGGGCGTGGTATTTGGATGGGGTGTAGGAGGTCGAAGCTGGGGTGGCCGTCGGGCGGGTTTTTTGTGGAGCCAATGTTGGGCATGAGGACCGGGGTGACGACTGGCTCGGGTTGAGACCGGGAGCCTCGACGGGATTCACGGAGAGCTTGGCTTTGTGAATCAAGGGTTGGGGGGATGGCTCTTAGGGGATATCTAGGAGTTGGTGAGTTGAGGGGGAGTCGGATGGAAAGGGATAGAATCGTCAGATCGGAAATAATGGAAAATTCCAAAACTTACATCTGTTATATCACTTTGCCACCGGTGCACATGAGATGCGACTCGCGAAGGCGTCGAGGCTTACTACTATGGTACAATACCAGAGGGAGATCTACGACACCCAGCGCACATGCCCCTGCATTGCTCCTTCGAGCTTCACTTGCGTTGCTACGCGCTTGTGTAGCAGGGAATTAATCACTTTGTTATCGAGGATCAGCAATAGTAATCTTCTTCAACTGGGGTTCATAATCAATTTTCCTGACACCGGTTTCAATAATCGTTAATAATCGTCCTGTTCTATATCATGGCTGATATGATCTATCCTTCCAGTGTCCAATGATTCCACACTGCTCCTACCTCTATTTACCTTACCTTGATGCTGTGGTCATCCTCGGTCCGCCTATGTGGCCGTGGCATACTAGTTGCGTGGTCCATTGTACGGGTATTGGCCACCTTTTCGGCCGATAGGCTCTCTCCGCCGCCTTTTCCATCAAAAGCTCACCGCTAAGTTTGCAAATCACGCACTTCCCGTTGAGGCTACCTCCATCGAGTCTCTTGATCTTTCTCTTCGGAGGCTAGATTCACAATCGGGATCTGGTTCTCGGCCGTGCAGACCATCTCGTTCGCGTAGGCGCGGTAGCGGCTCAGGAGGTCGGTGTCGTACATTTCTTTTTGGACCGCGAAGCTGAAGTGAGCGGTGAGGGCGCGGGTCTGGACGAGGTTTTCTGAACACCATGTCAACGCTCGACTCCTCGATATTTGGCTGGGTGGCACTTACGACGATGCTGCTTCCTCGGCAGATCGCTGGAAATCAACTGCTCGTCATCGGCACCCTCGAAGGGTAGGTTGTCCAGAATGTCGTTGGCCCAGATGGCGAACAGGTTGATGTTGGTGCGGTCGTAACGCATGTTCCAGATTCCCTCGTCGCCAATGTGATATTTCCTCAGCAGCCCCTTTTCCAGATTCTCCAGCAACGAGTAGTGCTGCTGCGCCGCGATCGTCCACATGTGCCAACTGTTGCCGTCGCCTTGGTATTCCGCCTCCGCGATCGGGGTCTTGGCTATGTATCGATCCTCATCGCGCAAGGGCAACCAGCGGTGGTTCGCGTACGGAGCCCCTCCGATCGAGCCGATGGGGGCTTTGTCCGCTTTCCCTGCTTTGTCGGCGTGGGGAAACTCTTCGATTTCATCGTCGCCGTTTGGGGACTGCCACGTTGGGAGAGCGGACGCGCGCCACGCTTTCGGGCCGTAGGATTCGTCGCCGGTGTCTTCGGAGGAGGGTTCGAGGATCGGAGGCTGGCGTTCCGGGAAGTAGGAGTGGACGGCGCCGAGGCGGTATTGGACCCAACCCATGGTTGCCGAGTTGATGAGGGAAGCGAGGACGGCGAAGGATTCGGGGTGGTTGAGCTTGGTATTGACGAGCTCCGGGATGGCCGTGGGGCTCATCCAGACCTGGACACTGTCAGCAAGTTAAACGAGATAGGATTCTCGGCTTTGCCGACCAAATCGTCGTCGATCTTGATGTACATATGATCGCGCTCGATGGACTGGGCGTAAATCGAGTTGAAGTTCTGAGTAAAACCGTCTTCTTCCAATTCCACCCTTCTGTAGTCCTTGACTTGAACCACCATGTTCGCGAGCCATGCTATATCATCTTCATTCCCGGTGTTGACAACAAAATGTATTTCATCTAGAAAGCCGCCGTGAGATACGAGATTGGCGCGGAGGTAGCATTCGAGGACTGAGAGGGTATCTCTTCTGCCGAAGAAGAGGATCCCAATGATCTTGAAATCGCGAGGCTTCAAGATTGGTGTCCCGTCCACGAGGACTGCTGAGGGCCACACCAAAGGTGCCGAGGGAGAAGTTGTCGAGGGAGAAGTTGTCGAGGAAAGCGCATTGGTGATTGTCAGAGGGTGATAGCTGACGAGTATTACGAGCGCAAGCACGATGGAGACCAGGAGGATGACCCATCTCTTATTCAAGCCTCGTATCTTCTGCGCCGGCTCTGACTCCCACGCTGCTGCCGGAGCACGCCACAGACCCCTTATGTTGCTGTCTTCGGTCAAAAGGCGGTACCCCATGGTGAAGTCCCAGAATCCCAGAATGCTGACGCGACTCTCAACAGGATGAAGTGAGAAATATGATCAAACAAGCTAGCTCAGCATCGTCTGGTCTGGCTGGTTTGCGCTGAATGGAAGATGGGGGTGGAGGACAGGACCTAGGAAATTTGTAACACAGCTGGGAGCGGGGCGGCTGAGCATCTCCTTCCACTGATTCACGCGTGCCGAGATCACTGTCGTCTCAGTGAACGCCGAGGAATACGTTTGTGGTTTGAGAAGAAGTCGAAGTGGTGAATTAGGAGACGTGAAGGCTGAAGAGGAACGGAGATCCTACCGTGCCGCCTCCGACTCCCTTGATGGGAAAATACCAAGCCACAGTCTTTGTGTTGGCGAGGGGTTTAATTGATTTGCGGGAGGAGTATCAGCTCCGTCTTATTACGGAGCTTGGCATCACTGTGATCTGAGACATCCGCCTCCTTACCTACTTTACCGCATCCTCTCAAGGTTGCACTGCGACTTACCGTACGTAGGCGCGCCCGCCGACGGATGTCTTTTGCGAGCATTGCATTTTGAACTCCCAATCCGCTCCTGTGAGACTGTGAAGTTGGCTCGGTACGCCAATGCTATACAAACGATGGTTCCGAGCGATGATGAAAAGCATCATCAGCGGAAGGAAGACTAGAGTCTCAGAAAGGCCCCACGGAGGGGCTCAGGAAAATTGGGCCCGGAACAAAAGTTTTTCCGACCCACCACCACATAAAGAGTCTAAAGGAAGACTTTGGTCAGCTATTTAAAAAGATTCCCCACGAGGTAATCGGTGCCGGTTTTCATGGCTAATACCTTAGTTCTCACGACGGCTCGACATTAAATCACGGGCACTAACCCCTACAGATAGCACTAGTAAGGGTTCTTTCTATGAAAATGTAGCCCGCCGCATCCTACTTTACGCAGGTATTCCTACGCCATCTCTTCTTGTTCAGAGTCATAGCGTTATTGGTGGAGCTTACTTATATCTTCCCGTGCCTATATATAGATTGAGTTCTGTATGAATCCGGGAAATTTTCCCTCAGCGCTGGGGCTTGGCGCACGGATGTTATACTTCCGTTCCGTTGGCCCCCCCTGGTGTTGAGATGATCACACTCCGGCGTCAGATACGTCTCCGTCCTCGGCTTCAACATCCTCTCCCCGAATATCTTGTTTCCGTCTTCGCTGTTCGCTTTCTCAACTTGGCAGCGTATCTTCTCCGAGCGGTCAGGCGCCATGAAGTTTGCGTCGCCTTCGTACGTCTGGTCGATATTGACCTTCTTGAGCCTGCCTTGCGTGTCGTGGCCTCGGCGGAGATGCTTCATCTGCGCGAGGACTTTGACCATGGATGTGAGACCGAGAATGGCTGTCTCTTTGGCGTCGGAGTCGACGAGACCTTGGCTGAGGCTGGAACGGTAGGTTAGATAGTCGTCGGGGTTGCTGAAATCATCTTCGTGACGGGAGGCACGATACTAGAGAGACGGTTTTGATTAGCAAACGTATACCAAACGCAAGAGAAACACACATACACGGGGCAAGGCGCTGCTTACGATATCACGAATCACTATTCGACCATCCTTGAGCGAGCGTTCTTTGCCCTCGGCATCCTTCACAGTGACAGGTTCAGCCACTTTTCGCACCCCAGGAAGTTTCGCGCTGAGTCGTTGAGCTTCCTGGACAAACGACTTGATTTCCTCGTCACTGGGAGGATCATCTTTCCACGCGGCAGACTGAACTTTGAGCCATTCGCAAGTGCTCGGGTCTGTTTTGGCATCGGCTGTCTTTGCTTCCGCATATCTGTAAAGGCCATCGATGTAGTAATCAAGCACGGATGAGAACTAAGATCGTGTCAGAAGTACCGTCAGAGTCAACCTAGATAACGAAGGGAGACGCGTACGAGTACCGCTAGGACGAAATTGTATGCACCGTCAAGAGCAATCAAAAGAAGCGTGGCGGTAGCTCTGCCGGCATCGTTGTCTTGCTCGAGCACGCTCTTTGCTATCTTCATGCCAAAGCTTTTCATCTTGGTCTCAGGACAATCATCTGTACCATGCCATGGGGACAAGTTCGAAAGCGAGAAGTTAGTTGCTGCTCTGATATTGCCACTCTCCGCCAAGTCACAGAGAAACTGCATCGACGTTTTGAAGGCCGCGCGACGTGAGAGCATTTTGGTCTCATCAGCACCGTAGGCGAGGAAGGTTTGGCAGTTCGGGATGTGCTGGTAGATCTCGTTCACCGAGAATTTGCCATGCTTGTTCTTTTCCGTCCTCAGCCGGTGGGTGAAACCTAGAAGATCTGCTACGTATCGTGTAATAACGGGTCTGGCCAGGCTGGAGTATAAGATTAGCTATCAAGGCTACTCGAATAAGCAAGCGAAGAACTCTGCTCACTCTCTGGTGACATCAATCTGGTATGTTGGTTGCTGCGCGTCCACTGTGATGACTTCTCGCTTTACAACTTCCCTCGTCACTGCCGCGAAGTAGTCTAAAACCATCCTTGCATCGACGTCTATCGCCAACTTCGGTTTTGATTTAATCCTTCCGGGAACGAGGATTTCGGCACCCTTCTTTGGGAACCAGACGCTGTCTGTACATGCCGGATTTACCAAGTCATCAGACGCATCCCTCAGCACAGATTTCACTTCGGCGTAGTCGCTGAGATGTACAGGGTTTGCCGGCTTCTTTGGTAGGAACGCGATACAATCGTACTTGTATTCTCCAGGGGCGCATTTATCGACCTTGCTTTCGAACTTGAAAACATCTTCATAGCCCTGTTCTTTTGCCAGCTTCGCATTTGTTTCGGCGGTGTAGAATGGGTGAAAGAAGTTGACAGAGTCATATGGGAACGCGCGTTGGATCAGGCGGTGGAAAACTGAACCCTTCAGAACATCCGGGTCGGGAGTCATCTCCTTCATGCCCCAAGAGGTGAGAGAGTTCGTATTCCAGTCCTACGTTCGATCAGTTGGCTCTGTTACATGTCACGAGTTTGGAGCTAGGTATTGACTTACGACTGTGTAGAAACGGTCTGACCGTACGAGGGTGATAGCATCGGAGAAAACTGCTCCCACAAGGCGGAAGAAATATCGCTGGGTCCTGGATCGTGGTTCAATTTGGAGCCGCCTTCGCAGAAAATGCCCGGGTAAAGCTCGACCTTATCTGGGTGATGGTACAGGTCTCGCAGCGCGTTCTGGACGCTTGGATCCTTCGCGATGCTTTCCAAAGTCTTGTGCCTTGGCATGCCAGAGAGGTCCCTGAAATCATTCAAGGTCCCTACCTCCCATTTACGTCCCTGGAGTATACCTAAGATCTCCACCGCCTTCAGGCACCGCGGAACATTCTGCGCACCGAAATTCGAAATTGGGTCCTCCATAGCTCTGACGAGCTGGGTCACCATCTTTTGTCGTCAACGAGCCAGGTAAATTCGTTTCTGGGGAACTTCATATCCCTTTCGGTCTGCAGTCCAAACGCAATATCCCATGGCTCCACGACCCCCTTACCGACTGTATCCCTGGCGGATCGCTGCATCGCTTAGTAAAACTGTGGCAAAGTCATGGTCCTCGGATCCCATCCGGTTGGAAAGTATGCACCGTAGGCTTGTCTCATGTAGTCTTCGGTGTACTGTTCATCCTTCTCAGAGATCGCACAGTTGAATCGATACAGCAGGTTAAACTCTACGGTAACCTGATTGCCAATGCCACGAGAAACAGCATCTTTCTTACCTGCCTCGTCAATTGCGATCCGAGGGTCGAGCGTAAATGATGTGTTGTACCGATGGAAGCCCATGAGCGCGCGGAGATAGTCATGGATTGAGATGTTCACAAATAACCCGCATGTGATACTGTGTCATCCTATCGTCAGGCTCGTCCCAACAACATTCGTAAATCACAAAGGGTAGCACTTACAGCCTGGCGGTATCGGAAAGGTCGTCATCTAATTTGTCCCACGCTGCATCTTAGGCCTTTCCAAAATACTCAGTCTTCGCACCAGCAGCAGAATCGCCTTTGATGGCATCGTCAATCTTCTGCTGCAATGCAGCTTCTGCGTACTTTGCGTTCATGTCTGTACGATACTGTGACCAGGCTTTCTCTCCACCATGGGCTTTGTTGTCTTTTGAAAGGTTTTCCCAAGCCTTTTGAGCATTCTTGCCTTTGTAGTCGTTACAATATCTCCCCCAGTCGTGGTACTCATTCAAGTAGCTGCGGAATCCTCCTCTGTCTTAAATGCAGGAACACGTTCCCGTGCGACTGCCACGGGCTTCTCCCCAGCATACTTTGATGGGACCGAGAACCCACCATTTTCGTTTATGCGACGGAGCTGCCGTGCGGCATAGTCGTGATAGCGGTTGTACATGACAAGCATTATGCACACACCAGGCGGCTGACGCAGTAATCTGTCTTCTGCAAAGGTGTCTGGCTTTAGCAAGCCAAGCTTGAATTCGCCGTCTCGGACCTTCCGTTGCATCTCGTCCGTGTACCCACAAAGAGGAGAAAGATCCAAGTAAGAAGAACTATCAGAGATGTTATTGTCTGAATCGTTCGTACGGAATATATCTTTGCAAAACTTAAAGGTAGTCGACTGTGGCTAGTAGCTTGAAAGGATGACCATGAATGATAATGGTGGCGTGGTAAATCAGCATGGCTGACAGCCCAGAGCCGCTCTTTCGTCCCTCAGGCTTTCGCGCCATCGGTCCTAAATTTGCGTTAGAAGGGTAGAAGTCACTTGGAAGATAGTCGTCGCCTACTGTCGAAGATGCCACCAGGATCTGGTTGCGTTCCTAGAATGTGCGTCTTAGATGGTACTGTCTTCGCGTACGGTGCCCCAGCTTGACAGAAATTGGGCGACAAAACGCTCGGGAATGTCGCAGTGTATTAGTCTAAGATCTCGAGGCTAGTGTTGTTTATGACAGGTGATGTGGCTCACATTGAACTTCCCATCGGATTGTCGGTACTGAAAAGCGTCGCCCAGGTAGGTAAGTGGCGGGTGTAACATCCTATTTTATTTTGCAATTACTTGGCTCTGGATAGAAGCCGCTCTGTTCGCGCTGTTCTCTGGCAGTGAGCCCACGAGCTGGGAGCCCGATACCATCTGTACTCAGATTAGTCCCAGTGGTGCCGCTGCCGGTAAAGACCACAATGGACCTTGGACTGCAACGTGCTTACATCCAGTCCTTGACCAGTGACCATCTTCGATAGCACCTCCCGTATCTGCCTGGCGTTGCCCCAAGTAAAGACATCGCGGACATCGAGCAAAGTGCCAGTAGGCACAGTTTGCCTGTCTCCAAGTAACTCATCTCCATGGAACTCAGCTTGATAATCCTTGGCCGCGGCTCCCAGTTCCATATTTAGTTCCTCCACCATCTTTCCCAACTTGATCGTACGACCGTTGGCATGGCCGCTGATATGACCGTTCACGAGGGGTCTTTGCGATTCCGAAGACATTGTACAGTCCACGGTTTCCTAATCGTAGCCGACCTACGAGTGAACTGACATAAAAGATCTGCTCGTCAGGGCAGAAGAGCGATGGAGGCATCTCAATCTCAGTAAATATACAAGATTTTTCGCAAAGATTAGATTTTAGCGAAGCGAGGGAAAAGGGTGTGGTAACATTGGCATTTATCGGCACACCACAGCGGCTCACGACTGGCTGAACCATGATCAATATATTAATATCTGGTTGGGGTCCAGCGATTGTCTGGGAGTCATGCATGCCCAACAGCAAGCCCAAATCCTGACTGTAGCTGGAATGCTTATGGCTCGGATGATGATATTCAATGGACCACGATGATTGGAGCTTGCAGGATTCTCCTTACTGCAGGGAATGGGATGCATGCCATCGTTAGGTCTTGGATCTCTGTATCTCGCAATTATCAGTCAGTCCCAATACTCGAGGTTGGAGGGGGGGGAAGAGTCATTTCATGATTTGAGAATCCAAAGAGTTTGACGGTCTGATCTATGGAGTAAGGATTTTTTTTCCTAATTTGAAAACGAAAAAGTTTGAGGTCTGTTTTATGAATTGGGGGGTTTGATTGATTTTTTGATTGATTACATCATACTACCCTGAAGTCTTGCCCTAGTGGCCGACTATGCGAGTTACGTAATCTATCTAATCCTTTCGGCTAATCATATGGTCTCAAATAAATGAGGCTATATAAGTCACCGTCATGGTTCACGTCTTGCTATACTTGATCCTTGGGAAGGGGTGTACCCTACATCGCTAAGGCCCTCCCGTCTTAATCGTATCCTTCTTTTTGACCGCCCACCCTAGTAAATCCTTATTGTTAGTCTTTATCAAGGGCTTGATATTACCTTAATAAGCCTAATACTCCTTATAAAGTCCGCCGCTATAGAGGCGTAGCGTGGTTTTATTAGCATATCCTTATAAGTAATAACCCCTCTTTCACCTTCCTTCTTTCTTCGACCCACCATATTCCTCGCTTCTTACTAAATAGCCTACATTCATAAAGAATATGTTAAGCCGTCTACTTCGCTCCACACTCATATTCTTCATCCTCTATATTCGATATTCATCGGTTATAAAGAAAAGCCTTAAGACCTATTTTCTCGGTTCTCATTTACGTTATCAGCGACGTTTTAGCGCGCTTAACTCTCGAATATAGAAGTTATATTTATTTCAACGATATTAATTAAA